ACAGCTGCTTCAATCCCACAGTTTTCAGTTTCAGTCTCGCTCTCAGTTTCTCTGAGCGTTTAATGTGATTTCTGTATGAAGAGTGACGTTTAAACTGCACAGCTCATGTAGAGCTGCTCCAGTTTCTTGATTAATTGTTAGTCCGTTGATCAAGATGAACTGCCTTTGATTGTTTCAGTATTTTTTTTTTTTAAGCAAGCAACTTCTCAGCTGTGAATATTTGCTGGTTTCTTTAGTCTTCAACTGATTTGAAGTTTAATAATCTTCAAGTTTTGGGCTGTTTGTCTGACAAAACAACATGTGAAGGCGTCACTCTGGACTCTGGGATACAGGTAGATGAGTTTCATTGTTTTCTGACCTTGTATGGATGAAATAATAGTCAGTAATAAACAGTAGTTGCAGCAGTTGTGTGTAGTATTTCTGTAAATGCTTGAATACAATCTCATTGTGCTGCTTTAGTCACAACATTCGATCAATCGCTTGGCTTTCGCCGAAATCGCTCACGCTGTTAAACTGCACAACCGACCTTGTCTTGTAAAGCTCTTCTGAAGCTGGAGTGAAATGTCTCTCCACTGCTGCCATGAAGATGAATGTCTGACATTGGGCTGAAAATTGCGTGTGGAGCTGTTTAAGAGAGCGCAAGAGAAATTACATGGAGGTGGGCGAAAGCAATAAACGCGGGAGGTTAATTTCACATCTGCCTCCGAAAGGCGACAGGCGCTGCGATCTGGCAAATCACAGAATTCTCTTTAAACTTTAGTAGCAGCTAACGACGGTTACAGACTCCCAGGTTAACGACTTAAACAGTGCAGTAGATGAAAATGTGCAGCGTTTTTCCTCCGTTTGAGCCTCAGCTGGTGTTTGGTTGGTGCATATGTGAAATATAGCCGTTCATAGGTCCAGCAAATATGAAGCTCTGAATATAAAAGATGACAAAAGTTACAGCCTTTTCCTCCGTCGCAGAATTAAGACGCAGTTATTCATGGTGTGGCTCTGAATGCTTTAAGGGTTTTTTTCTCCCCTTGACAGCGTAACTGGCTCAGGACGTTAACTATGCTTCCTCTAAATATGGTGTAGTTACAGAAGACATACTACAAAGACCTCTTTCTGGAATTGGACCTAGTCGATGCATTTAAATGTTATACATCTTACCCTGGCCTCCAGGACGCCACTAATATACTAATATCTGACTGCGAGCAGTGATAACAGCGCCTCCATTAAGCTGGTGAAAGCAGGCTCTCCAGCCTGGTGGATGTAAGCTGCCTTTTGTAATGTGTTTTCAGCTTTCATCGAGCCGGTATCCTTAGATGACCCTGAATGCGGCAGCCTGAGCTCAGTGCTGAACTGAGCTGAACTCAGGAGTGGTTTGTTGTGTCTCATCATTGATATATAGATATATATATGTATTTCCTCCAGCGTTATCCCTCCAGCCATCCAGCCGTAGTTCATGAGGACAGGAAACCTTTTCAAAAGCAAACATCTGCAATTTATTTATCTTGACACTGCAAATAATAAAGTGCTTTCAGATCAACATACTGAGAATAAATGCAGATGCAGCACCTGAAAGAAAGGTGAAACAAGAACACTACATGGTCAAAAGTGTGTGGACACCACTTGTCCACTTGGACATTTTTATGCTTCAGCATCCTGGAGCTGCTGCAGCCTTTTGACTGATAGCTGAGGAATAATTTAGGTATTGTTCAAGCAACAGTGGCAAATATTCACTGGACCCAGCATTTCAAATAAGAGGATTTGATACCTGACAATTTAGATTCATCATTAGGTTTGTTTAAATTTATAATTTTGGAATATTTTATGGATCAAATTTGATTAGTTTAGAAAATGACCTCCAGATTTTAAAGACTCTGCTCAATGAAACTTAGGGGTTTAAATGGTTATTGGTTCATTAATTAATTGCCGTTAGTTAAGTTATTTAAAAAAAACAAATGTAAGTCTAAAGCAGTAAGGCAGAAGATGAGGGATGTGCATGTCAGTAAATGTATTGTCCATCAGCTGTAGGAGGAGTAGGTGGAGCCTCTTACTGTTTAATGTGATTGAATGCCTGTTTGCTGTGGTAAATCGCTCGCGTTCCCAACAATGAAACTGATTTAACTGCTTGCATGGACCATGATCACTTCTTTGTTGGAAATCAGAGAGCATTGTGGTAGTTTAGCTAGCAGTGGACACCAGGACACAGACTTCTGTGGTGCTTTATGGCTTCCAGTCTGGGCTCATGTTGTCAAGATGAGCCAGAGTCTACTAGGACAACAACAACAACCTCAGAGCAGCAAAGGCTTCGATCATGCAGGAAGGCAGTCCTGCTATATATTTATTTTTTTGTGCATTATCCATTTTAATGACGGTGCTCGTTTCTCTGTCTGCGAGTGTTACAACTAGTCCACTGCCACTGTTCTAGCAGAATGATACTGAGGTGCAGCCAGACTAATATACACGACAGAATGTCTGGAAAATAAGTGGAGAAGATCTATAAAGAGAACGTTATATTCCAGAATCTGTTGTAAATCCTGAAATCGGAACAGCAGAGGGCTGTTACAGTGACACAGAGCCTTGACTTTCTGTGCTGCTGTGGTCTTAGCGGAGCCCTTTATAGGAGCGTATTGTAGGAGAGGCATTTGTCCTTGATTTGTGTTGACATGTCGAGGCTTTCAGGCGTAAATAACCGCTCACGGCAGATGTCATCGTCTGTCTTCTGATACCCACCACCTTCAATATTTATTGTGCACGCTCACATCCCACAGAAAGGAGCAGAACTGTGCTTGATGTGAACGTGACCTTAGCTCAACCCCAGCGATGCTCAAATATAAAACATTACGTCACAGAGGTATCGCTGGGCGTCATGTGACAGGAACATCTGTGTGAAGCTCATGGGCGTGTGGCAGCTCTCTGATACGCTGCAGTACAGTGTGTGTCCTCAGCTGCCCTCACCACTTCTCATCTCTGCCGACTAACTGGGCTAATTTCATGGTCTGATGAGCAGACAGAGGCAGGCTGGCAGACTTTCCGCTGTCACCGGAGACTTTAAAGGCAGGTTTTTTGTTTTTTTTTTAAAAACTCTGTGTGTGAACTAAGAGGAGGATGGAGGAGTGGTGGGTGTTCGTCTGGCGTTCTCTCCTCCATCACAACCAGAGCAGTCGGACTCCTGCAATTAGGCAATGAATCACTCAACGTGACGGCAGGACGAGTCACAGCTGCCGGCACGAGAAATTTGCGTCCGTTTGTGGAGGATTTGTGCTTTAAAGTGGTGTAACATGAGATCCTCTTCTTTCTGTTTGTTCCTTCTCACCAAGCATTCACTGCTGTGGTATTTGGCTCATCAATGAAGCGGCGTGGGTGGTACTGTGACATGCAGTTTCTTGTAGTAGTCAGTGTGTGTTGACTCTCTGTGGGTGGCAGATTTCTTAGGTTGTTCAGTAAAACCAAATTATACAAAATAATTTTTGGGAAATTTTCCAATGAATTCCTGAGATTGTAATGAAGATAAATCAGTTTACCCACTGGCCTCTGTAGAAACAGCACAGCCGTGGTTGGAAGTAGAGAGAATTCAGAAATGTTTTCTGTGCAGTATGACATAGTTGTAGTGCCAGAAATAAATAAGAAAAATGTAAATTGAATTTCTTCATAAGGCTGCAAGGGGGCTCGGTGGTTAGCACCATCGCCTCGCAGCTAGGGTTCTCTCCGGGTTCTTCGGGCTTCCTCCCCAAAGACCAAAAACATGTTGAGGTTAATTGGTGATTCTAAATTGTCCGTAGGTGTGAATGTGAGTGTGCTTGGTTGTCTGTCTCTAAGTGTGGCCCTGTGATAGACTGGTGACCTGTCCAGGGTGTCTCCTGCCTTCACCCTGAGTCAGCTGGGATAGACTCCAGCCCCCCATGACCCTAGTGAGGATCAAGTGGTATATAGATAATGGATGGATGAGTTTCTTTATTTGTTTTACAGAAATTGCAAAACATCAAGAATCCAGCATTAATCCTTGTACACACAAGAGCCACTATTACTGGAAAAATAAAAAGGTGACTCTACATAGTGTAGACACTTCACTACCTACTTTTTAATTTGTTTCCTCATGTGTCTCCTCTCTGCTCCATGTAAACACAGCCTGCAGTTCAGTCAAAATGCCCCTGATTTTTTTAGTCATGTGACTGTTGGTCGACTCGAGTCCAGAATGAGCTTTTTACAAAATCTGGTTCGAGCAAAATGTTTATTTGTATGCTTTAAAATTCAATTGTGCATGTGTCTTCTCTTCAGTGGAGATGTTTAAATGAGAAGTTGTAAGGCATTGAGTTGACTTTGGTTTGTTGTGTTTTCTGTTTAAATTCATAAGGTCTTCACCATACCATGTTAAGCGCTGTGAGATGACATGTGTTGTGAACTGCACTGTATAAATAAAATTGAATGGAGTACAATTTGCATGCAAAGTCTGTAGCTGGAGACTAGTTAGCTTAGCTTGGTTCTGTCCAAAGGAAACAAAATGTGCCTCATTATTATGTTATATTTAGCATATTAAATCTGTTTTATTTAAATATTTACAAACCAAAGTGGACTAAATGGCAGTTTGTCGTTTTAATTTTGGGGTTTGTGTGTCAGTCTGTTTCATGGTCACGACCTGCTCACAGCCACGAGATAGTCCTGCTCATGACTTGATTTTTGAATGAAGTAAAAAAAAAAAAAAGAATCAAAGAAGCTAAATTTAAAGTGTTACTTTGCGATGCTAGCTGTTTCCAGACTGTTTCCCTAAATGTCTGTCTGTTCCTGTGGAGCTGAAGGGGCTGCATGTTGCACTGCTTTTGTGTTATCTTTGTTCAGGAATGACTTCTTCTCAAAGAACATCACTGTTGAACGATTTGTTCCAGCTGTTCTTCTTTCTTCTTAACTTGAAACCATCACAATGCCAAGCCCTTCTGTTCCATTCAACATCTTTCAGATTTCAAAATGACTCTTCTAACGTTAGCCTTATTTTTTGCCTCTTTCTCTGTCCACAGGCTTCGATGAGAGGCTCTCCATGATGAGCAGCTAACACTGTCGGCCGCACAACCACAGAAAGAATCGTGGCTGCTGCACCATCCACAGTCGACGCATGGCGGTATTAGGGGTAAGGACCGCACTGCTGGCTTCACTTGTGTGTTTGTCAGAGGTGGGACGCGTCTAATAACTCGGGGAAAATGAAACAGATAGGCGTTTATTAGATTAGTTGTCAACAATTAAATTAATCAGCTGTTTTGATAATCAATCAACCAGCTTGAGTAATGTCGCAGAAAAACTGCAATCACTGGTTTCCAGTGTCTTGAGTTTGAATAGTTTCTGCCTTCTTTCCTCCTCTGAGACAGCAAACTAAATATATAAATATAAATAGATGAAAATGTTCTTAAGTTTTTCCCGCAGGCCACAATGGCAAATATGGCCTTAGACCAAACAACGAATTAATCAGTTGATCAAATAATCATCATCCCAACTGTAAACTGCAACACGCCAACACATTACTTAGGAATACTAGGTAATAATAAGGGGGAAAAAAGAGGATGAACATTTGAATTTAGTGTTGGAAACTAAAATGATTTTGCTCTCACGCTGATTTTTTTCCGCTTTAACGAGATCACACGGTCCTTTGAAGATTGTTCTGATTAGGAAGGCGGCTAATGCTTTGTGTTACACTGAAGCTGCTGATTATTTTCTAAATAAACCGATTAATTGTTTGGTCTTAAATGTCAGAAAACACTGACATCTTCCCATAACAATTTACTCAAGTTCAAAGTTTCACTGAATTGCACGTTTTGTCAGACAAACGTTTAAAGTCTAAAGATATTCAGTTTCTATCACAGGATTCTCACGTGTTTAAAGAAAAATGTCCTCAAGCCACATTGTCAGTTATTTAATTTCAACCAGCTAATCAAATTACCAGCTAATTATCTCTCCCCTAACTGTTCTCATGGGCTCATGAAGTCATAGGATGCCAAAAACATCCTCAAACTAAAAGCCAGAGTCTTTCTTAGTTCGACGGTGGTCTGTCGAGTTTGGTGTCCGGACACCTGTTCAGTGTGAGCAGTCAGTGAAGGTTTGAGCCTCTAAATAATGGACGCCGACTGTCTCGATGTCTCATTCACTGAGTACAACCAGCCATTATCTGAGTGATCATTGCTGGTTATGTCACATCTGATCATTCGGCTGCTCCTGTGCGCTGGTCGGTCTTTGCTTTACAAGAAACCTGATCTATGCGTTTCTGTGTCTCTGTGGGTAAAATTACACCTTTTTCTTGTTGGTACATGAACAAAGGGGGAAAAAACAATTAAATTGTTTGTTTTAGAGTTGATCCTGATGGATTGGAGACACAGAAGATCAAATGCTTTCATGTTATGGTCTGACACAAAGATATCTTTAAAGTGAAAGTGAGTCAGGGAAGCCCAGTGGAGTCTCCTCAGGGTGTCTGTCTGCTACAGAAGGACTGCCTCCAGCGGTATCAAAGCAAACCTTCTTTCAGAATCACAGCTCAGACATTCTCCTTGAATTTGTTTTTAAAGTTATCTGTGATATTGATGAACAGAAAGTCTGAGAGAATCCCAAGCTTTAAAAGAAAAAGGCTGTCGGGGAGCCTTTAAGAAATGTAGGTTTGATTTAAGAGCCTTGATAACGTTCCTACAACGTGACATCCATACACGTAGTGTTTTAGGTTTTCTACCTTTTGTGTGCACTGCATCCCCCGAGTCAGACCAAGGTGACAGCTTTGAAAAGTCTTCACTCGAGAGGGGCTACAAACAATACATCAAAATACAGCCGTGTGAAAAAAGCGGGGCGAGTGAACGGGTGAACCTGAGAGAGTCTGCAGCTCCTCACGGTTTTACGCAGCTTTATTTATAGCGACTGTCAGCTTGTTGTTTAGCTTTTCGGTCTGCAGCTTTACTTTTGGCTTCGGTTCAGACTCATCGCTCCCATAACGTCATTTTCAGCTGCAGCAGAAAGCTTCGTTTCAGGTTGAAAAACCACCACATCGTACTGGTTCAGCACCAGACAGCAAGCTGACGTAGTTGGCAGCGAGTTAGCGAACAAAAGGCCATTTCCCAAAAACAAACCAAAACAGAGTGAAGAGAGAGCGATTGTTGGACCAAACAGCAGCTCTTTGCTGGCTGGTGATGACATGTCAACACTGTGATCACAACTTTTTCTGTTGCCCCCGTGTGGATAAAGTTATTTGCGGACTGAAAAAACCCATGGTGGATTTTGTCCTTTCCCTCCCCTGTGCTGTGAGGCTTTCTTTTTATGTATATAAAAGGTCTGCAAAGTCCACGCCAACGGGAGTCTCCTACAGAAAACGCTGCTCTTCAGCTCCTTGAAACACCTCATTTGCAGCTGAAGCTTTTCTTTCGTTACTTATTTATGTCACCATGTGACACATTTGCATTTTGCCCAAAGACAAAGAACGAGCAGCTTCCTCGCAGCCCGCCATCATTTCCTCAATAGAGCTGCTTGTGCTAGACCAGGGGTGGGCAATCCTGGTCCTCGAGGGCCACAATCCAGCATGTTTTAGATGTTTCCCTCTTCCACAACACCTGATTTAAATGATCAGCTCATCATCAAGCTCTGATAACGATCCTGATGATTTGAATCAGGTGTGTTGGAAGAGGGACACATCTAAAACATGCTGGATTGTGGCCCTTGAGGACCAGGATTGCCCACCCCTGTGCTAGACGATACGTCTCTCTGCCTACATTCATAGATCTGCTGTTACGATACATAACCAACATTGCCTCGCTTCCATCGGCTGACCAATCAGAGCAGATTAGCCTTAAAAACACAGAAACAAAAATGGAGCATTTGAGACAGATGGGGAGAACAGCTGCTACAGCAGTGAACAATAAGACAGAAGTAATGAGTTTTTTGAACGTTTGAGGCATATAAACATATTGTAGTAGACCCAAAAAACTAAATTTATGACCCAGTGAATGTGCATCATATGGGCCCTTTAACACCAAGCAACAATAAAGACAGTTTTTCTCTCTGCTGATTTTTTTCATATCATCCACTGTAAATCAAAATATATGTTTAGTGTCTTTTTCTTTTTTTCCCCAAAACAAATGGAAGATGGTCTGTGCAGTTGTTTTATCAGGCAGGGAGGAAGGGCAGTCTGTGTGGCCTGACAGGCAACACCAACAGCTGCTTGTGAAGCTGAAGCAGTGTGCACATGGATACAACCGAGTGTGATGACTGTACGAGCTAATCTGGGTTACAGCGGCTGAACAGAGGACGCTGTGTACAGAGATTTAAGCAAGAGGACAAAAAGCAAAAGCTCAGATTATGCCTTTTTAGTGTCAATTTAAACACGCCTCAATTTCAGTCATTCTTTGTGATTTGGGCGATACCAATCAGTCAGTCAAAGGTATGTAGTGTAAAAGTGTGGTTGGTGTACATGTAGCTTAAGCATGAACTTTCTTATGTTTTTATTTGCAACAGAAATGTACAGAAACCATATTTGTGACAGCTGTTGACTGAAGTTTCTGGGCTGACAAACTTGTGAACCGTTCACACAAGAGCTGAGCCTCGGTGAGAGCAGAGCAGACTCCCAGTGTCGTGCTAATAATGCTGCTCGCAGAATGAAACCACAGTTAGTCAGACAGTTACTCAACAAAGAGTTGGCTTCTGCATTGCAAATCACCGCTTTTAACGTTTTTTTTTTTCTCATTTAAAGCATGAATCACCGGCTGAGCTTCCTGATCGCGTTGGTACACGTTGAACCGAAGACTCGGTGTAACACAGTAGATCCAGGTTCACCGTGTTCGCTGGTGGTGTAAAATTAGTAATGAGCCATTACTGCCAGCGATACATGACTCACCTGCCTTATTAGTGGTGTTTTCTCAGGTAGGAGTTCGATTAAAGGGAGCAGCAGTGTGAAAATAACAGCATCAGACTGCAGCAACTGCTGCAGGAGACTTTTAAAAGTTTTCTTCAAAGAGAGCGGAAGATGAAAACAGCAGAAAACTGTGGTTGGCAAGAAAGCAGGAATGATAGCTAAGTAGCTCCATGGGTGCAATAAGAGCCGCACAGAAAACAGTGAAGCTCGGCGAGCTGACATAAAATGCTGCAGTAATATTCAGCACAGTGTTCCTTGGTGTGATTATGGGTGTGTTACGGCTGCTGGTGACATTCTACATGCTGGGCTTGTATTCGATGGTTGGCTTCATGTAAACTGTCTGTTTTGTTGTGTTTTATTAAAATAGAAATATAAGGATGCAGCTTATACGGTCCAGATCATAATTATGTGGACACTTACATACACTTACGCATGCACTTGTTACCAGCCTCAGCTATAGTTTGAGTTAGGCTTGTTTTGATATATATATAGAGAGAGAACTGGATGGGAGGTTTTTTTTACATTTATCATTTTCTCAGGCGGCCCCAGTTTGTACCTCTAAGTGACTTCAATCTGATTTATTTTAGCAAGAAAAAATCTATAGAATTTCTATAGAATGGACAGTGCAGCCACTGTACAACAATAAAGCCAAAATATTGCGTTGTGCTGGTTCTTCATTTGCAACCAGACTCTGTGCAACTGCAACCCGAGGGTGTGGACGTGGTATCGAGGTCCTGTCTGAACCAGATGTGGGTCCACAGGCCTTAATGTCACGTAGCCCGGCCGCTGCAGTCTTGACAGTATCCGACTGTTGTGGATTGTGACTTTATGCAGATCGTCCTTTAGATGGAAGTGATCTGTACGTACCAACCTCCTTTCCCTCATCACTTAGTTGTGCTCTGAGCTGGTTAGCCATAACATTAGCACTAACTTGCTAATTAGGTTACCCTTCAAAACACGATTTATGGCTTATGCTGCACTGAGATGCTTTGGCTGCTGTCATGCTGTCCATTTTATACACAATCTAGGAACAACAAGGTGAAAACTAACCCAATCTGATGGTTTTTTTCCACTTCAGAACTTCAGAACTGATCAGATCACATTCTCGTCATCATTATTTCGTGTTGGCACCTCACGGCCTGGTAAACATTTTTGAAAGCAGCAACAATGATGGGGATGAATGTAGGGACAGAAGTTTTACATTCGCTGGAAATTTAGAACGAAGCTGCTGTTGAAGCTAAACCGGAAACATTTTTTATTTTTTTAGGAAGTTGTACAGTCGTTGTGATACTTTAATGTGTGTAGCTCACATTTGAGATAAATGCTTGTTGGCAAAAGACCAGATCTCACAAAATTAAGTGTCCAAATTGCACTGAAGTACACCTGGCTAATCAGTGTTTCTTGGTCAACCAGTTGCTGTTTCAACATTCATGAGAAGTTTTGACTCAAAATGAGGAACATTAAATGATGATCAGTAGAATATGCTTCATATCACACTCATGAGAAAATACTGCTCCCTGTCATTCAGTACATCACGTTGTGGGAATGTATAAACGGTATTTTGTTTGTCACTTAAATGTATGTGCAAATATAGAAAGGAAAACACCACAAAATATTGCGTGTTGTGCTCACCGGTTAACTATGAAATCATAAAGAGCGATGCTGACTAATAGCTGCAGTGTTGGTTTGAGTCGGCGTTATACTTAGAATGTGGCTTCACTCTCTCGAGCTACAATGAATGATCGATTAGTTGTCAACTGTTTATTTAGTTAACACCTGTTACTTCATTGATTACATAGTGTGAGCAGCTTCTTAAATGTGAATGTTTCCTTCCTCCTTTATGACGGTTCACTGAAAATGTTCGCCTCATGTTCTTATCCTGTGAAGTGTCTTTGAGTTTCTGAAAAGCTCTATACAAATAAGATGTGTTATTATTTTTATTATTATTATTATGATGAACAAAATAAGACATTTGTTTATTTGTTTATTTAAAAGGATCCTCATTTGCTGACGCCAAGACGTCGGCTGGTCTTCCTGGGGTCCAGACAATAAAATATCAAAAACAGGCATTACAGTCTCAAGTGAAAATAGAACAAAAAGCAACGACGACAAAAACACAACAAGAATAATTGAAATAATAATAGAAATATATAGAAAAATACACAACAAATAATACATAGAAGATAATATGTAGAAGTAGATGAAGAATCTTTTGACATCTTGGGCTTTGGGAAATGCTGATTAACATTTTTCTAACATAATTAATAGATGCAACCCTGTTCCTGTCTATGAGTGACTATGCATTGTGTTTCAAGCTTTAATCACTCATTTCGTCTCCTCCTTCTTCCCCAGAACCCCGACATGCTGACGAGGAAGATAAAGCTGTGTCACATCAATGCCCACATCACATGTCGTCTGTGTGAGGGCTACCTGATCGACGCCACCACCGTCACCGAGTGCTTACACACCTGTAGGTCCCTCCTCACGCTGTCCCCTCGCTGTCTCTGTGAAGCATTCTCACGTTTCACCTTCTGCTCGTGTTTCTCCGTCTTGTTGCTCGTCTTTTTTCTTTTGTTTTGCTTTTCCACACACACACACACACACACTGACCGTCTCGGAGGGTTTTTCTCGGCTCTTGCCACCAGGGACGGATCCTGGAGGCAGAGTGAAGCTTCTGAGAGAGACGCAGCTCGGTTTGTGGCTGAACTTTGACTCACGGTGCTGCTTTCTGTATCGTTTGTTTCACCGCCAGCGAAGCGCCTGATCCGTCTGCAGGACTTACACACATCTCTGCTGTGGAGCTTGTTGCTTCCCATCTTCCTGTTTATTAGTGTGATTGTTTTCAAACAAATAACTCTACAGGTTTATGTAACTACCATTTTAAAAAACCCTGACATGAACACACATAGACTCACAGTATCACAGCACATTTATTTATCTATTAGCCTCATATGAAGGTGAGACGACGTCCTCTCTCATTCACACGCTGCTGCATCGTTAGCAGGGTATTTTTAATGAATTACGATCATACCGACTGTCTCTCCTGCAGTTAGTCATTATATTGTCTAATTTTGTGTGATAGCCAAGATCTCTGAACAGACTGTTCTAGACCAAAAAAAAAAAGACGATGAATCATCTTGAGTTAAAAATTCTCTTTTTCTCTTTAGTAGGTGGGATGTAGTTGATCATTTTCATGTCTCCAAATCCTTAAATATACACCATGAACAGTAAAAGGGATGTTAGTAATATTTCATCACGCAAAATTGTCTTTGTCAGTCAAGTTTGAGGCTTTGCTTTTAGTTTAAATCTGTGTTAAGTAGTAAAAAAAATACGTGTGCAGGGTTTGTTACACCGCTGAAAACTGAGTGAAGAACAAGAGAGACATACTGAAACACTGAAAAGAAGGATTTAGTTGCAAAAACAAACACGACAGCTGTATGACAATATTTCAGCTACAAAATGAAGGATGTTGACCAAAAGCAGGTACGTTGTCTACGATGTGTTGCACAGCAAGAGCACTGATCATTTAAATCAGCTCCTCAAGGCTCTGTATGATGGGTGCCACGTCAGATGTGAATGCCTGTTTTGGATCTCTGGGTATGAAGGTATCATACGGATCTAATAGATCTTATTACCTTTTTGAAATGCATCAGCTCCCAGATGGGTCTTTTCGTGAATCAGTGTCTCGCTCACTCAGCATTATCATGGTTTCAATTTGCTGAGTAAGGAGCATCTCAAATTTGTCATTTACAGTGAGTGTGGCATTATTAGAAAGTCATTTTGACACTGAAGGAATGATGGCTAGAAGATGAGTGTGCTCTCTAAATGTAGCTAAATGGAAGCTTTCATTTGCTATAACCTGTTCTGACCAAGCACCTGTCTCACATGATGAACGCACCCTTACTTAGGACTCAATATGTGCTTTTTGTGTTTTCTGTAGTAAGAAAACAGATAACACTGTAGGGTATCGGCGCTTGTTTCTATGACCCTGTGTCATGACTTTGAAGTGGAGCAGGTGCTTTTAAAACTATGATGAACCCCATTAAATTGCTGCTTAAAGATCATTAAAACAACAAAAAATGTGACACTTGGAATAAATGTATAATTGTTCAGATGTGTCACACAAATGTCCCTAGAAATAAATTCATCTCCTTATGAGGCTCAAAAATGCTGGAAAAAGTCACATAAATTAAAAAGTGGGAACCTTTTTGACCCACAGCTGTGTTGTTCAAAGGTCTGAAAGTATTCATAGTGTGAAGGTAAAATGTTGTGTGACTTCATTAAATACACTAAAGTTATCATACAGAAACAATTGGCTGATTCTTAGGGAGTCAGGTGAGAATAATAAAGTCTGGAGCTGCAATCTTTGCTCGTTACATATAATTTGAGTGAGCAGAGACACATTGAAATATTTAGGACGGATATTTTAAACACCTTCCACAGCTAGAAGTCCATAGAGTGGCCACTTTATTAGGAACTCCTGAACAATCGGTACATGCAGTCCAACTGCGACAATGTTTGTAATGTTCTCGTCTTGGAGATGTTGATATGTTTAGGCGTTGAGGTCTTATGAGTGGTGCTGTGTAATATTCAGAGAGTTTTCCCACTTTTTTTTGTAAACAGGAAGAACAAAGAACTGAAAATGCTGCCCAGTCCAGTGTGACCCTTTTTAACTCTGACCTCATTCATAAACATGAAATCTAATTTATGCTTTGGGATACCGTGAGTTTCTTAAATGTAGAATTTACGGAAGAACTGTTAAATTGGACTGTATTAAATCGTACTTGTGTACCTAATAAAGCAGCCACTAAGTCAACTGTCCCAACAGTGGCACATCGTGTAAACCAAAAGTCAACAAGAGAAAAACTGCAGTGTGGCTCTGTCACTGTGTACACTAGTTGTTTATTTATGTTAATTTATGGTGCATGAAACTAGTTTGCACTCGTACAGAAATTACGATACCTTCTGCTCTGTGTTTACCAGCTTCGAATCATATGAGCCGCAAACTTCATAACACGTCGGTAACAAATATGTGTGAGCTGATAGTGTTGATTAGCTGCTGAAAAGCAAACAAGTGCAGCAGTCCAACTTCACTCAAAGGCTGAGAGAAGTAAAAATGAGACGCTCACGGCCCTCGGTCGCAGTGTTTTTGAAATTGAAATGTCTGTGTCTTATTAGGACCACAGGGGTCTGCTTTCTGTTTGTAATTTAAACATAATGAACAATTGAAGATGTTGTTAATGGGTTTAGAAAGTTGAATCAGCAGCCAATTTGATTGTGGATTTTGATTAACGAGCACATAATTGAAGTCTGGAGTCGCTCCGTGCGTTAGCGTCTAGTCATCCTCAAAAAGAAGTAAGAAGTTTATCCTTTCTACGTTGCACTTCAGCGGCACTGTGCTTTGCAAAAGGGAGAAGAAGAAAAAAGAGGAAATAAAATACAAGGACACGGGAGCATGAGGCGTTCAAACAGCAAGATATTAAGCTGTTAGAATAAAACCTAATCAGAGGAAACAAATTATTTTGAGGAGCTTTTATAAACTGTACGAGAAGGAAGCCAAAAAGTCCTGCACGCTGTCTTTTAATTTGTTAACAGACATACAGACAAACAGCAGCGTACCTTTAAAAGTTATGGGCTGTAACCCGGGAAGGAACCTGTGAATCAGTGGACGCCAGCAAATCCTCCAGCACTCATGTAAATGAAGGTCACCGGTGCTGTTTGGCTGCATCGTATTAAAGCCTCCTGACTTTTGCAGATCTGTAGCCTGAAAGAAGGGTCGTATTCCTGTCTGAGCTGAAAGAAGCAGGACAGGACCAGTGACTCTCAGGAGCAGGGATCAAGCATTAACATTTTGAACAAGTGAGGCAGTTTGAATAACTTAACACAACACAGCCGGGGCAGTTTTATCACACTCAGGTCGTCTGTAAGCTTCACACTATGTTCGAGCTGCCTGGCACTTATCACTGCTGTTGCAAAAGCAAGTTTTACTGCAGAGCTTCCTCTTGTGTTTCTCAATCATCGAGCCAGACACTTCCTGTATAACCAGCGAGGCCTCATTTGTCCTGCAGTCTCAGTTTTTATGAAGGCGTCGCATGCTGCTTGGTTTTTGCTGCACATTGCACTGTGTGTCTATCTGTCCGTCCCTTCTGCCTGTTTGTCTCCTCATTCACCTGACTACCCACCCGTCTGCCAGTCTGTCTGTTTACTTACCTGTTTGTCTGTCTATCCGTCCACTAAACCTTCTACCCGTCTGCTGTGGTGAACAGAAAGTAGCACGCCCTTGAATGAGACATTTTGCAATTCCTGGAGGGTCACTGAGTTGACAAGACCTCATCCTGTTTACCTCGTCTGCAACCTCAAACGCCCTTCACTGCTCACATGAGACCGGGGCGAGGCATTAGAGGGCAGAGCTGACAGTGTCCCAACACCGGGCTGCTTTTGTAAAATAATAATCGTCTGATACTGCAGAATAATGAAAAGTGTCTGAGGATTTCAGCGCTGGAGGGGCGATCTCACCCCTGCTGTGTTTAATCGAACTTGACACATTTATTTCTGGTGCGTTGGTGTCGGTGAGAGTAGTCTAATCTATCTGGAGACCAATCAGTCGCTCTCTGCTCGTCCTGAATCACATTGAGGTGGAAGCTTTTGCTTGTTGTTGGGAGTCTGAGCTCCTAAAGTTGACAGCGTTACTTAGCCTTATGTAGATACCTAGAACCAAACAACTAACATTTTCCTCACTAGTGTTTTCAGCATAAATCCATCCAAGTTTTGACCCGAACACTGAACTAGTTCCAGTAGAAACAGACTTGCATGGGTTGTGAGACGAACCCAGACAGTTTAGTACCTCGTCTGCCCACCAGAGGAAGCTCTTCTACCACAGATGAGAGCAGCTCTGGCCTTTTCACACATCAGATTCCAGACATGACGCCTTGATTATCCCTCTCACTTTCAGAAGGGGCTCCACCATTGGAGAGTTGAGACAAAGAGATTCACATCACATCGCCAATGCAGCTGTTCTGACAGACTGAGCTCCGCTGCAATAAAAAATGTCAGGCACAGACGGATTTAATGGCGAAGCGGATGCAGTAAAGTTCACTGCTGGGTTGTGAAATACATACAGTGTGCACAAATCAGTTTATTTAAGTATATCGTTTGCAGGTTCAGCGTATTCGTCAGAGGTCTGCGTGTGATTCAGTGGCTTTTTCAGCCTCACATACCTGTGCATCCCCTCATTACTTAATTCTTTCACTGTATCGTATGCATGACTGAAAAGATTGGTCGACTAACTGACAAGTCAGTCGCAGAAAATAAATCGATGACATCTTTGTTGAGCAGTTATTATTCAAATTAGTTCCCAAGGCAAAATGACACCATTTAACACCAGATTTTGTTCTAATTTTAAAGCCTAAACTTTTGTTTAGTTCATAGAAAACTTATTTTCAGATCAATCGATGTGGTTATACTTCTGCTTCCAACGAATCAATAGAAATGGGATGTGGATAAACAAATTGAGCACTGTATCTGATCTAAAGAATCTGTAAATGTAACAGAGACCCTCATGGAAACACTTTCAGTTCAGTGTTTCAGCTGATCGTCTTCACAGGTTGTATGAGTGTCGCTGTAGAATATGATTCATTCCTGCAGTATTATTCACTGCTGGACTTAAGAGGCCATTACAGCTTGTTGTGAGTTTAAGATTTTAGTGAACATTATGTTTTTCTTCAGTCTCAACACTTGATATAAACATTTTCATTAAGGGTTTGTTAGAATTTGTTATTGAGATGTTTTGATGCAAAGATCGAGGAGCATTTTACAGTGTTATAATAGACCTGTCAGCACTCTCTAGTGGACAACGTGGGTATAGAAGATACATATTGAGCTTTTATGCACCTCAGGTTACTTTTCTGCTGATGCTGTACCACGATATATCACGGTGAAAAGCTAATTTCATCTGGTAAACTTACAGTTACAAGCAATCTAGAGTGAAGTTTGGTCGTCTTTGTGGCTGAAAGTGAGATCAGACACTGACTGATCAGCAAATCTAGCGGGTAATCAGAATGAGTGTTAAAGCCACGGTCATGCAGAATTATCAAGTGCACTGAATAAGTGTTTGTCATTTAAAACCATGGTCTGAAAACACACTTTGTATAGACTTTAATTATTGGCCCAATTTTATTTTATTTACTAATTTTATTGATGAAATGCTTGTGAATCAACAAATGCTGCCAAAAGCGCTTTGGAGGGAAATCACATTCATAATGAGGATAAAGCCATGTAACAGGTACAAGAGCAGAGAGCACAGAGAACATGTAAAATCAAATTTCAAGATGATTAAAAAGGCCACAGGAAGGACGCTGTGGGAGCTTGACTCCTCTGAATAAGATATGAGCTGCCCTGAAAACGTGTGCGATTTTGACGGGCTTGCACAGCAGCATGTAGAATCATCATCATCCAGCAATCGGAGAATAAACTTCTCTGGCTTGTTTGAATTTTTTCTAAACTGGTGATGTTAGAGGTCGATTCTTAGATGGATTTAGGATCAATCAAGGCAATTTTTTAATAATCAGTGTATCATTTTATTAGCTAAACCCCCACAATGCTCTCTGCTCGCCAATACAGAAGTTTAAATCGTAAGTCTCCTCCTGGTGGTGCAATCAGGTACTACAGCTAATCTATAATACTTGAGATGTGTATTATTTATTATATATTATTATAAGCAACACTGTTCCCTCTTTTGCAGGCAGGGAGATGAGCACTGTCACTAAAATGGCTAACTCACGAGCACAACTTGACATTTTCAGCGTGATGGGTTGCTAGCATGGAGGTTGTTGCTGTTGTCTCCGATAGTGAAGGAAATTTTCAGAAGAGTAAAACGTAGATAGCTGAAGCAGAGGCAGCTCACATGTAGGGCCAATGACGTTTTTATACCCACAGTCTACATCCAGTGAGTCAGACTACTGGAACACTGACAGTCTGCTATTTTTGCCATGCGTTTCTCTTTTCCTGTAACGTTATCATCAAGGACCATGAAATATGTGTGAAGGTGATTCATCACGAATTCACTTCAGTAATGATACGGCATGCATGCTGCTGTTGGCATGACGGCCATCAGAACACAGTGATGCATTATCGGAACTCAACTGACTTTAAGATCAGACAAGAAATAAACTTTGTCATCGTCAGCTGCTGTAAAACAGCACCAAAGAACAAAACTCAACCTCGCTGGTGCGGAAAGCTGCAGGCAGCAGTGGCTACTTTTCATCTGTCTTCTTATTCTTATTGTCCATGTTCTTATTAACAGACAGAATGACAGATTAAAGCTAAATGAAGCGCTTTGTAAATGTTGTATTGGTTGTTTACGATCACAGAAAAAGTGTAACAAGTGAGCCCCCCTAACCCAGTGGTATACTTTGTACACTGAGTGGCGAAGTGTGCCACAAATTAAGGCCGACAGTGTCTCATGTGTACCCTCTATGTGTACATTGAAGTGTAACCGAATGTCTCCCCTGTGTGTGTCTTCAGTCTGCAGAAGCTGCTTAGTGAAGTATCTGGAGGAAAACAACACGTGCCCCACGTGTAGGATTGTTATTCATCAGAGCCATCCACTGCAGTACATTGGGTAAGTGTGGAACCGCTGCAGAGCTACACACACACACACACACACACATGCACGTTAATCCGTGCACAGACACACACACTCACTACCATCAGCAGTGCATTGCCAGTAAACAATAAACTACCAAGGAGCAGAGATACCGCTGGCCTTTTTCCATTTTATTTCTAGTTGTCTGCAGGAAACAAAGAGCCTCTGAACCGCTGAGGTTGGTCTGTGTATTTTTTAGTAGATAAGTGCAACACACAACAATGCTTACAACCTAAGATCATTCACAACCCCGTTCTTTGGATGAGTAATGCCTGGAGTATACAGGGCAGCAAATCATATATGGTGTTGTTTCAGCGCAAGAGAAGTACGGTTTTAAACTTTAAATGGGTCGTCACATGCAGGGCTGACAGTTCACTATAATCAGATGCTAACTGATGTGATATCACTGATTGGTGTGTCATGTGTGGCTGGAATGACGACTAGCTCGGTAGAAACGATAACTCAGTGGGCCTCCTGGTTAAGTCAAGGTTGTTATTGTGCGTGTGACAGAATATTAATATCACCATACCGCTCTGTTCTTCATCCTATTTAAAAGTTCTGTCCTGATTTAGCATTGCTGTCCTGAAATGTTGCCAGATTCATGATGGATGGCAATAAAATAAATAAATAAATAATAATAGATGCAGCAGGGCCATCCTGATGTGTGTCGCATGTAGGCCCTGGTTAGATTCCCATCTGGACACTGCTTCCTGCATGTCATTCCACTCCCTTGTTTCCCCACAATTCCTTTCTTTCTCCACAGCCACCATGAAATACAGCCAAAAAAACACCCCACATAATATTTTAAAATATATAAATAGATGTCTCTGCCTCTAATAGATTTTATTCCAAACCTAGTTCTTCCGGTGCCTACGTTACCCAGAATGCAGCTGAAGGGCTGACGCTTCAGCCAGAGATTTGGGTGTGTTATGTTTGTAGCACCTGATGAGGAGTGAGCTGCTTCTTTCTTTCTGACTCTGCACCCCCAGATTTCTTAGATTTTTCCAAATCATTTTTATTGCCAGGTCACATACAAGGAACTCGTTGTGGTGTTTTGGTACATAACAGTAAAAACTGACACTGATTGGTTCAGGTTCCCGGCTGGCTGGACCTTTTTTTTTGTGTCAACCTTCTTTAAAAAATGTAAACATCAAGCTTGATCTTACATTACAAAGGAACCTTTGTTGGAGACATTTGTGTATAAGCCTTCAGAAAAAATACTAATAATGTTTTGTTAATAGGAAGAGAAATAAGAGACGTGTCGCTAAATTCTAACAAAAATATGTGTCTTAATATGGCACAAATAAGCATTAAACACTGTGACACGGTCTTAGAACTTGGAGAAAAAGGGAAGGAAAGCAGTGATTACTTGGGTTGTTTTGCTTCACATACCCAGGTTCTGTTTACACGCAGCATTAACATGTCCTGGCTGATCTGATCACAAGTGGACAGCTCTAAGTTCAGGTGTGAACGCATCCGAGACGTATTGAGGACGCGCTGAGGTCCGAGCGGTCTAACATCATTCAGAGGGAGGTGCTCCGGGTCACACATGCGTTTAGCAGCGTGGATGTGAACGTGTCCTGCACCACACGCAACTAGAACTACATCCTCAAGTCACATAAACCGGCTTTGTCTGAACATTTCACAAAACTTATAGAGATATATCAGGAGTACGTCAGAAAGCTTGGTTTTCCTGGAACATGCTGAAGAATAAATCATGTCTATACTGCCTGTATTTCTTCTTTTAATGTAAAAGATTAGTCTTCAGGTTTTATTAGATAGGGAACAACTAAAGAGAGGCAGTGGGGGGAGGACATGCAGCTGTGGTAGGAACTAAGCCTTGGTACTCGGTGCATGCACTGTACTAGGTGAGCTACCAGCATGAAGCTTTCTTATTTTTTTAAATTTCCTGCAGACTAGGCATGGAAAGTGCACTGCTGCCTCCTGCCGCCTAAAGCTAAAAATGCATTTGGCCTTTGTAAACGAGAACGATGTGCATCTTTACTTGTGTACAGAGCAAGGAAATGCCAGGTATGAACAGGTCCTCAGGTTTCAAAGTGAGAGAAAAGTGGCACAAACGCTCGGCCTCATTAAGCTGAGACGCCTCAATAACATGCAGCTCTTTCACTGGCTGCTGTGGATAATAATGGATTTATATAATGTTATGTCTCCACTGAGCACAGTTTTGACTGACAGCTTCCCTGACTTTGCTGGACTCTGACATGTTGGAGTGTTGACACAGTACTTGACTGCACTGTGATACTGCAGTTGACCTCAAAAAGTGCTGCTGGGAATTATTTTATTTATATTTTAGGATTTTGCATCAAAACTAAAGGATCCCCACTGTCTTGATAACTTCAAATTAACCACGTGTACATTAATGAATATGACCATACTGTAAAATAATGTCTATCAGTGTGAAATGAAGAGGCCATGTATTGTATGTAAGTTCTCCCTGCTCTGTGTTGTTTACACTCCTCTGCATTAATGTCTGATTAATGTGACACACAAACTTAATGTGCAGCAGCAATTTAGTCATTACCTTCTCAGCTGCATTGTCTGCAGACTCATTGTTTTGCAGGAAATGCTCCATTTCAAACACATTAGCTCTTCGTGCAGCTGTTTTTTTGCCTCATTGAAATCGGAGCTGATGGGAAACATCGCAAGTGATGTGAAGGCAACAGAAACACCCGATAGATGATGGACAAACCCCATCTGCTCATCAGGAGGACTGATCAAAGTTGATGTTTGGGATTGAACCCACATCACACTCAGATGTCTCCTCACAGAGAGTATTAGCTGGACACAACAAACCCTGCCGCTCGCACTGCCAAGTGTGGCTGCTTTTAATCCATTTTATTTCCATGCACTGGAAGTTATTCTGGTTATATGCAGGCAAACATTTTGCAGCTTTGAACTGACGCGGTTGCTGTTTGGTGTTAATTTACTTTCTCCTGGCTTTGGAATACAAATAATGTGATTAACAGTGATTTTATGTTCATGTTTTATATAGAAACAAAAAAGCTGTTGCAGATGATATCAGCATGTTTTTATTCCAGTTTCTGAGAAAGTTCAGGTTCCTGTAACATCGCAGCTGTAAATCCCATTACTTCATGTAATTTATTGTCACTTTATTGTGAGTTTTCACGGCTTTATTATTGTTTCCAACTTGTGGAACCAAGTTATGGTTGCTGTCTGAACACGAGTGCTTTATTCCAAACTTGTGACTCGTTAAAATGATGTGTAACTGGTCACAGTATATATCATATGTGCTATAACCAGTGCAAAAATCATGCTCCTTGTTGGCTTGTTAAAGTTTTAGGATTTTTAAAGGCTCAAAGGATAAAAGAACAGTATTTCTAAATCACGATGTTATTTAAATAACAAAAACAACAAATTTATTTCTCATTTTATTTTGGGGCCATCTGAGACTCAGAAATTTGGAGATGATCTCGGGGCTGGGTTCAGTTTTAATCATCAAAGCTGAACTTTAAGTCCCTTTCAAGAGGGACAATTAGTTTTATTTGCTTAAACCAGTAACTCTCTGGCTCTTTCTAAGTGAATAGATTTGTGCTGAATTGTGCACCACTGCTTGATAAGGACATGTGAAGATATCGTCTTTATTTTTGAAACACATACTTTACATTCAGTAAATACACTTTATTGTTATAAACATGTTTATCAGGTTTAAATTCTGCACAAGGTTGACGAATCAGAAAACATCTTAACAAAACATGAATAATGGTCTTGCACAGAGCGTGATGTGGATATGGTTTAATTTAAGCAGTTAGTTGGCTGTACTTCCACCTCTGTCCAGCAGGGGTCAGTGTTTTGCTGCAGCTTGTAGGGAGCCTTAGTGTCGGCCAGTTTATTCTCCTCTGTGGACAACAGGAGAAGCAAACATGCCACACTTTTTTCTTTTTTTTTTTTTTGTCCTACATAACGCTGCAACAAATTTTACATGTTGTGTCCCTTTGCTGGATGTCAGTGTTGTTGTCATGGTGAAGGCAGACCTGAGCACCTCACTGTGCACCAATGTCACCTGTCCAGGAGAGGCAGCTTAACACTCTGGCTGACAGAGGATATGCTGCACACCTGAAAGTGTCAGTTGGATCTATTTATTTGGTTGCAACAGATTTACCATTTCTCCGTACATGTTGCTTTGTGATTTTTATCAGACAAGGTTTTTACAACCAGATTACCTTCTTATTTACAGTCTAAATCTACACTTTTTAGGTGATTCAACTGAAGAGTTACTACTGATTCTCTGACTGCTGCATGTAGTGGCCTTAATAGCTACATTATTTTTTCTTTATAAGAAAAGAGGCAACGATTACAAGACATTTTGAAAAGATACATTTTCTATATATATATATTTTTCTACCAGAAAAGCGCTTTTCATCTTCCTTCTACCCTGTTAACACTCTGAGCCCCTAAACCTGCTGGTGGGTTTGAAAGACATTTTGCCTTTTTAAAAAAATGTCAAAATTACACAATTTTTCAGAGCCTGAACCTGTAAAAACAAAACGAAAACAGTCCTTGAAGTTCTAATCTGTGACACTGTCGGAAAACAAACCAGATAAGGTAACACAGACTGATTGCCTTTTTGTGTGCGATAGCTGATCTCACTCGTTCAACGTCGCTCCCCAAAGGCCCGTTCTGAGCCGGCTGAAACGCTGCCTTTGTTGGGTTCACTGCAGTAGATTATGAAAACCAATTTCGAATCTGATATGAAACGATCTCTAACATGTTAGATGTGTGTTGGTTTGTTTGCCCATGATGTTAATTATCATTGGATGATATGCTGACTTAATACTTTCTTCTTTTTAGCCATGACAGAACAATGCAAGACATTGTGTACAAGCTGGTACCGGGACTTCAAGAGGGTAAGTGCCGTGTATTGTCTTTTATTTTTTATACCCACCAGAGATCCATCCAACAACCCTAAAACTTTACTTTCACTGGACTTATTTCATGTTATAATTGTTGTTATTATTATCTGCATGTGCCTGAAATAATTTCAGACCATTTTCTTGTTTTCACTGATGGACTCACAGCACCTAATGAAGCTGGTTTCATTCTAAACACAATCACACTTGACTGTATTGTAATAGTCTGGTTACATCTTCAACCTTGAGATAAACACCCTTTTGTACTTTCATTTTGTTCCCTGTCGTGCAGCGGAGATAAAGAAGCAGAGGGAGTTCTATCAGAAGTTGGGGATGGAGGTACCCGGGGACATTAAAGGAGAGCTTTGCAACATGAAGACTCATCTAGATCAGCGCAATGGTACAATCATACCTACACAAATCCTCCTGCTGTTTTCATAAACACAACAAGAATTCATGCAGAAACATTTCCTGTTGCCGTTGTGGAGACTGTTCAGTTCGTAGTTGTAAAGGAATGAATCCAACACCTAGTAGATTGGTCTAATGTGGTAGTTGACCTACCAGCTTTGTTGTTGTTCAACATAACCGTGAGGTACAACACAACAGACATGAGGGCCATGACATGCCAGAAGGTGTTGTTTAGCTTTCATATGTTAAGCGGTTAAGGTCCTCCAGATGGCAGTAGGGGTCAGTGTGCCTGAGGTGATCATAGAGACACAAAATCCCACAGAAGCTCCGATAGTAATGAATGGAGCAACATTTCTGATACTAACACACGATTAAATTCATTCATTTAACCCTCTGAATCCCAAACGTTACAGGCATGTAGTTTATACAGAGTAACCAACAGATAGAAAACAAAGAGACATTGGATTTGGAATTTTCTGACAGTCTTTGAACTACTCATTTGTGACGTGACGTTCCATCTCAAACAGAACTAAATCTAATCTTAGAATCGGGATGTTTCATCAAAATCACTTCATCCTACATGTCCTATTTAAAATTTTGCCAAATGTAAGCCATTTGCTCGAACCAGATTCTGCGAAAATCAAAACCTTCATTGCTCCTCTGCACAATTGTGAAACCGCTGGTGACACAGCTGTGACCAACAGTCATGTGGCAAAAACCGAGGGACCGTTTGGCTGAGCTTCATAAGCTTTTTAACTAGAGCACTGACATTATTGGCAAGGCAACACAATAATGTAGTTTTTCAATAGGGGGAGGGAAACTTGCTAAGAGCAGAGCTACAGGCAGCTGTGCAGAGGTTTAACTAAACTACAAGCTATGAGGTTCAGCCAGAACCTACAAAAGTGCGGAGGGGTGAGCAGGGCACGACTTTGGGAAAGAGAGCTTAGCGGCTCTACCACACATGAATTCAGCTAATCAGTTCAGTGGAAGCCACAGCTCTGGCTTACTGGAGGAGACCATCACAGGATAGACCCAGTCCACTCTGTCACTGAGCAGAGCCACCGAAGCAGATGTGCCAGGAGGCCACAGGCTGTGCATAGCTCGGCACAGTTCAGCATGATTAAAGCGCACTAAACCTTGCCTGCGGAAAAATGGACAAAGTACAAACTGCTAAAATTGGTCCGCAGAAAAAGTTTGCCAAGCCCTTCACCTCAGCTATGTTAGCGTCCCTCTCTCTCCCTCATTGTACTATACAAGGAACGCAGCCCCCAACCTGTAATAAGTAGCATTAGAAGCACAACCATGAGTAGCAGGGGAAGCCATTAAGCAGCACACATTAAGGCAATTTAGCCAATCAGAACGAGCCTCTGGCCTACTTTATGTGCGCGACGGCTTTTCCAAACCAGCCTGCTTCTGAGGGCTGGTATAAATGTGTGCCCAGAGGGCTGTCGTGCTGGCAGGCCTAATCGCTCGCTTAATCCCCCTCTCTGATTTTGGTAATTAAGGCTCAAATGGAAGTGGTACTGCTCTCCGGCTTTCCAAGCCTCGTCGCTCGAAGTCAGGTTTAGCAGAAGTGCACACACAAACACACATTCATGCCTGTGCACAAACACATTTTAAGGACCATTTGCTCCGATGCCAACAGAAATAGAAACAAAAGAAACTACCACCATTCCCATTCAGTGTGTTAAAACACAAACAAATACGATGTCTTAGGCCTTGAGCAGTGGTAGAAATATAACATGGTTCTAAGTGATTTCACTGAAGTTGAAACTCAGAGGATGTTTTTACTCTTGTGGGTCACTGGTGAGTTTTTTTTTTCTTTTTTAAGGATTTGAAGCTTTTTTTTCTTGCAGCCTTTTTATCACTTTACTGTGTGCCGATGACTAAGCTCTGTGTTTTCAAGGAAATGAAAGCTGCTTTCAAACACCAGTGAGATAATGAATGTACTTTCAGATCAGCCTCTAAGCAGGTCTGACGCTGGTTTGTGATTCCAGAACTGGTTCTAAATATGTCGACCGCTTTGGAAATGAAATGTGATGTACAAAACGTTTATTTAGCCACCTGAAAACTAAAAAAAAAATCAGTTTAGGGTAAATTTATTAACCAATAATTGGCAGCCGCATCAATCACTAATTGATTGTTAGCATGAAATGAACTCGGTGGACGTCATTCTGTGGCCTGATACAGCTGCTCCAGTGGCTTATGGCTACTGTGATGGTGTCGATGATCAGCTGCTGGGCCCTAGTGATGCTGACATACCATATTCAGCTTGCCTATAAAGTGAAAGCTCCAGCTGGAAGGCATTAGGATTCACAGAATACTCTGTCATGGTGGCACTAGCTAAACTAACCCAGTAGGTCAAATTATTAACAGCAGTTAATCGATTAACTGGTTATCATTAACGTCCTTTGTGTAAGTTTAATAAAATTCTTGCTGCTTTACCTTGCTGCCAGACAGCCCTTTTCTTTGGCGCTAGACTTTCACAGCTGTAGAACTTTTATCTTCCCACTAACATCCAAATATTTGGTCGTTGTGGTGGTGTCCGGATGTCAATTTTGAGATCTGAATATTCGTCTCCCCCCGGTTGCTGTGGTGGTATCTGGATATATATTTGCCCACAACCCACCACCTGCCTGCTCCGCCCCAACCGCACCGAATATTTAGATATTCGCCATTAATTGGGCCCGAATATCCGGAGCCCAGAAATCTCTATTCGGACCAAGCCTAAATCCTACAGCACCTGCAGTATTTTTTATGTGCACTTAAAATAGTTAAAAGAAATAGTGTTTTAGGTTGACCTCATAAAACATGTTTTTCTGTGCTTAGCCTCCCTGCCAGCAGCACTACTGACCATGATCCCCTATAGGCAGAAAGAAGAAGCTAAACTATCCCTTTAAAATACCAATGGTGTGTAGGCTTTCAGAACAGCCACACTGGAAGATGGGCTATAAAACTGGCCATCATAGGAGGGAGCTAGGTGGTGCAATATCACTTAAAAACTGAGGTGACAGCTCACTTTTTCAGACAGTCTTCCCGGGGCAACACTGATGGTTTTGCATCAGGTTGCTCACACAAAAATACACAAATTGTTAAGTAGCAAAGACAAAACAGGGAGCTAGAAGATGTTCATGCAGACGCTCAGTTACCGCCTGGAGCGCATGTGAATGTCGGATCGTTGGCTTCAGAAATTTACAGCAAATGATGCTGAAAATGTTTTGGGAATGAGGTGTCCAATGCAATCCGTCATGCAGTTGAGACACACCATAAATCCTGCTCAAGGTTTGGGTTGGATGCTAAAGGACACGTTGGGCTGAATACAATAGTAACACCACCACCGTCTGTCTTTACCTACAGTGTTAATATAGTATGATGTGCTGTAGGCCTATCATTATAAAAACCCACTTCAATAGGAGCTGATAATACATGCACAGAGTATGAATTAGTCATCTAGTGAAAGCCTTCATTATAGCGACCCTCTTCAAACTGAGACTCCTTGTTTGAAGTAGCTGCAGCGTTATTGCGTGCCACCCACTCAGACATCACTGGATTCCTTTGGTTTTATGGGAGATGGACCAAAGTAGCAACATTCAATTAATGAGAGGAAAACCTTTTTAAGGTTCTCCATCGTCACTGCTGTGATGAAATGCCGTGCAATTCCTATAAATTCTGGAGGGTTCTTAATGTTTTATGTAGCGACTCCCTTCTCCCCAAACTGAGCAATTTGACCCAAGTCTGAAAATGCCTTAAAGGATTAAGACGGAAACCCCCAGGGTTCCCTCCTGAAATAACTGTCCCTGAAGTGTGCCATGAAAATCTTGGCATGTGCCAGCGGTTTTTGGAAAGCTTCATCCTCAACCAGGCTTTTAATTAAAACAAGTGTTTTCCTTATAACTGAATAAATGTGGAATAAAACATTTGAAGCCCTGGATTCCTGCTGCACACGCACTGAAGGACATTTTATGATTTTATGTAGGCAGGCAGCGTTCAGCTGCAGCGATCCCTCCTCACAGTCATACTGACCCTACATCCCACTCTTAGAGATGGAGGGTCAACATAAACAGTCCTGAGTCTTGAGTTCAAACATGTTCTGCTGCAGCATCTGTCAGAAATAGAAACTTTCACTTGGGTCTTTGTAACCAGCCGAGCAGCATACATCTACATCTGCCCCTTTGGTGATCACACAGGACAGACCAACACTTTGTAATCCCTGAGCATTGACGTCATGACCAGCAGCGGTAATACTTGTAATGTGGACTGTTGAGCTGCAACAATTATCCAATAATTGATTAGTCGTCTACTATGAAATTAATCATCAACTATTTAGACAATCAATTAAATGGTTTGAGTATTTGTTTAAGGAAAAACATTTTTGACTAAATAGCCATTTGTTGCAGCCCTAGTTTATTGTGTTTTAGTGCATAAATATAGGAAGCTCTCTTTCAACAATTAAAACAATATAATATCTGTTTCAATGAACAGGAAGTGAGACGGTTTAACAACTGTGTTTCTTCAACCCCTTAATAACGATGTAAACAGCTCAGCACAGAAAAACCCTAAATTGTAGTTGAAAAGTTAACTTCAGCAAAAAATTAGAAACTCATGGAAACCCGAATGGAAATCAATCCTTCAAGTCCCACATACTCACCCACTGCTGGTCAGATTAAAGGTAACACGAGCTGTTCACTCACTGTGCTACAAAACTGAAGGTCCACATTTGGAAATATCGAGCCTTCCAATCACACAGTTATTTACCAATATCCAACAAGTAAAGAGTAGAAAATGTAGCTTAAAAGGAGGTAAACTAATATTTTATCAGATTATGTGTAAGTTATGTGGGTTTGGGAGGACCAAGAACAGTCACACATTTACCCGTGTTGGAACTCATCTTTGAATGTTGGCTTAAAAAGTGGCTCTAAATCGTTTGTAGCTTGTTCCTTGGCAAAACATAATTCCCCTTCCCTCCTGTGATCAGGATGTTCCAAACACTCAACAAGACAGCTTAATACAGCACTTCACATTCCTCATAGCTCCAAAGCTCTGCCCGAATTAGTATAATGAGCTATCAGCCACAACTTTACAGAAATTACAACTAAAAGTAGGGTTCTCCATAATTAGTAATGCTGTGGGGCCTCAGCCTTTATAGTCGTATTAGTTAGATTAAATTCTGTAATTTGTAATACTGTAGGGTCGTGGTATTGTTATTGCATTAGTCAGGTTGTTTTCTATAGTTAATAACAATGTAGGGTCTCAGCCTTAATAGCAATTCCAGTCTGGTAAAGTAGGATTTTATACCATTTTTGTAAGTTGCCTGGGTTAAATAACACTAAATAACACTGTCCGATCTTAACCCCTAGTATCTAAACCTTTTTGGCTAATTTTATGTCAATCATGATCTTTTTTTTTTTTTTAACTAAAAAGCCCATTGGCGCAGTTGTCTTTAGTGTCCTACATTAAAAACAGTGACTTGACTTGTTCGCTGTATACAAATTAAAAATGCTGTTTGACTGGAACACACTGACTGTAAACAGCAGCGGCGACAAGTAAATGATGCTGACAGTGATTCGAGAAGTTTCCATGGACATTTTGATGCCACTTTCCAGAGATTTGGTGTCACCTTAAGATCCATTTGCTCAGCTTTTAAGCCTGCATGTGTGATACTTAGAAAGGGCCAGAAAAACTCACACGATAAGAAGCACGGCCGGCCCATCACTCAACCACCGATAACACTGTGGCATTTACAGGATAACGTTGAACTATCAGAGTTTTCGCGCTGTAAATCTAAGCTCTGCACTTTAGGGTGTGCACGTGTTGAGTTTTGACACTGACGAAACAACTTCCACAAGCACACGACAGACTCGTTTCTTTAAATTACCTGCTTTCCTGAGCACTTAACGCAAGACAGGTGGAGGGCCACGACGAGTCTGCTGAGTCACTTTTCCCTTCCTGACAGTATAAACTCCCACACACTAGCATCCACAAACCGATGTGTGCTCCATCTCTCTGCCAACGTACAGCAGCCTCCGTCGAAAATGTCATCGTGCATGGTTTTGAGATTTGATTGTCGGCGAGACATCCCATAAATCATAAACTCAGTATGACAAACAGAAACTTTCAAACCCCTAAACCCAGCCAATCATCCCATTACCTGTTGCCCTCCCCCTCAAACACGAGCCGGGACTTCGTGTGTCTGCTGAGAGTCACTGAGATGCTCAGGAGTTGGATGAAGGTGAGACATAACAATAAGAGCAAGACCCTCTTGATACGCAATCAGCGAGGCTGACTCTGGAGACAATCACCACAGAGACACCAGAGCAAGCTTGGTAATACTCGGTGGAATTGGTAACAGTTAGCCCAGACAGAAAGTGGTCACAGCGGGGTGAACGCAATCACATCTACAGTCTGAGCAGGAGTAAACTGTCCACACACACACACACATACACACACACGCGCACACACACACACACACACACACACACACCAAGTTATTACATCCACTGAATCCAGGAGGAACAGACTGAATTTCTTTGTTTTTAAAGGTTACAGAAAAGCAATACCTTTCCGTGCAGCAATTTTGTCGTGGCAACACAATTTTGACTTTGATAACTAAGTTTCACATCTAAAAATTCAATACTGCTACGATATCACAGACAACAGGAGAATCCACAAAGACATATATAACCACAGCTGTCCGGGACAACTTTGGAGCCGCCGTTTCACAGGGGTTTGAAAAGTTGTTGTGGTGTCTTAGACAGTGATTGTACACACACACATCTATAAAACCTCTGCAGTGACACAGCATGGTACTGTGCAAATTCGACTTTCCTTTAGATTTCACACACACCTACAGCTCACTGATGCAGATAATGAATGCGCGTTTGAGGATGCTGTGTGGGGTATCTGCGCTCATGTTTTTCAGTGTGCATCGTTTACCTGGTCGTACATTGTGGGCTGCACAATGCGCAGACACATCCAGATGAGAGAATATCACAGCTCACAGCTATATGGATGTTCAACGTATAAAAATAAGTTTGTTTTTGCTCCAGTTGCCTTGCTAAAAGTATTATGTCCGTTCAACAATCTGCACTGCTGCCACAGTATCCTGTCACTGCCTGAAGTCTATATTGCACCTTTACATATGTATGTTGAACCTGGCAGGATACAGAGTCGACAATAAACACGTCATTTAGATTTACCGTAGTCTTTACTGTTGAAGGCGTTTTTCTCTCAGGCACATTCCTTTTTTTTTGCCGCCCACAAATCATACATACTTTGAGATCATTGTATGCAATCTGCAGTTTACATCTTACAGGTCTTTGTATACGGTGGGCGTATACAAAGGGGCATAGATCAGACGGAAAGACCAGATATGCTGCAGCAGTGCATCAGATATTTTAACGAGGGACACTCGTAAGCTTTGATCGTAGACATGATGTCATGTTTACATGATGTTCACATCAGCTCGAGGTCTCTGAAAAGCAAACTGAATGAAGCCGGGTTGTAACCGCGTTAATCGGCTCATTTGTGTTCCACAAAACGGGCAAAACATCACCCTGTCGCTGTCCATCTTGGGTCACCATGAACTCCATAAATGACAACAACTCTTATTGGTCGCTCCCCATCACCACTTCCGGTTCAATCCCAGAGTCGGTACATTCCCTTTCCGGTTGATTTTACTTGTAAAAGAGTTTCAGGAGTTTGTAAAAGTGTTTCGCCACTTGTAAATTTGTTTTGCACTTTCGTGACCACAAACAAATCATAGGAATGGGAATGAAGGTGCACACAGTCTGTTCCTGTGTTAGCACCTGTTAGCACACAAGAGAAGTTACAAAAAGTTCAGTAAAGAACAAACTTGACTATAAAGTTAAAATCATGTAGAGTTAAGTGATCAATCACAGTGTGAAGAGGGCAGCTTGGTTGGTTTATCGTTGTTGGAAAGTTGTCCTTAATATTGATTATGAAAATCAATGGTTGAAGGGAGACTTTGTGGTATATTGGTGCCGTTACTGGAGTACTACTCTCTATAATGGTAACTAAACTTAATGTTAGGTTGTAAAACAAGTTTAGTGGAGTAACATTCATATATTTGTGTACACAGCCTTGTTTTCTGCTAAAATTATTGCAAATGACCTAATCTTCCCTGAAGCTTTTTACATCAACTCTGCTGGTTTACTCAAGCTGCAACACTGTCTGTGTGGTGCATTACTAAACAGTACCTCACCTTTCTTAAGGCACTCTGAACACATTACCTTCGGCAGTTTAACCTATATGTTCTCTAGAGAGTGCTGCTCGTTCTTCAACCCCCACATCATCTTTCATTTTCCTGGGAAAACCAAGATAAACCAAGTCAGGTAGAGCTGAGGCTGGTCCTCGTGTGGGCTCGGAGAATAAGTGAGGTGATTTTTTCTTGGTTACGGGTTTACGTGCATTAGAGATGTGCCTGGAAAGGACAAGTCATATAAAGGATGCTTTGACGCCCTCTGACATGTAATTGTTGATAAATGGAAGTGCTGTTACGCTCCACAGGGCACAGGCTGTTTGAATTCTGCAGAGACAGACGTGGTTGTTTCTCTGCCAAGTCTGATTTCAACCACTGTGGACTTCACTTAAGCATTTGCATTTACATTGCAGTCAAAACTATGCTGACTGTGATGTAAACGGATACACGGTGATGGAGTTTGGTGTCCACAAACCACACACTTCTTTGTTATTATGTGTCTTTTATTGTGTATATATGCGTGGTAATATAACCGTTTCTCCTCTTGGTTTACTGAACAGGCGACGCCAAATCAGAGGACACGGCCAATAAGGAGGCAGGAGAGGAGAAACCAGAGGAGGACAACGACTATCACCGTAGCGACGAGCAGGTGAGCCTTTCTGCTTCTCTTTTCCTTCCTCCAGGGCGTCTTACAGTGACAGCCTCTCTTTTACTTCAGTACATTTGAGAAAGGTAATTTTGTCATGCTGTGAGATATCTGCCTCCTTACCAGCACAATCTCAATCCTCAGACCTCGCTGTCAACTGTTTTTTCAAGAAATAGTCCCTATGATTATTCAGAATAACAGGGACGTTGTTTCTGGGAAAAAGATGCTGGTGAAATTTTGAAGTCTTTTTTAAAAAAATTTTTTAAATACTGTGAGCACCACAAACTTGTTCCTATCCTTCGTTTTATTGTAATGGAGACATGTGTCGGAGTCTGTTATTTAATAAACCATCTGCGTGGTTAGACACCACCAGGGGTAAGTGAGAATATGTTTTTTTAACTTAATTATATTTTACAAGGAAATTTAGGAGGCAGTGAATATTGGTTTGTCTTTTAGCAGAGCGAGAAGCAAATAGGGTGAAATAATTATGGGTTACAAAGCATTCTGTCAGGAACAGAAGCACTAAGGAATAAAAATACTGTTTGTGATAATTGTTGGTACAATTGCCTTAAAAGCCTGAACATCAATTATTGCCTTTATAAAAGTGGCCCCTTTGTGGTTTACTGGGACAATTACTGGGTTCTTTTGTCTTTCAGCTGTTTGATTTTTATAGTTCCACTTAGTGACAGACACCACAGCGCCACACCACTGCTATCCACTGAACGCATTTAAAATGGAAATGGGCTTCTCTTGATTCCATTTGTATTCTGGCACACTCTGAGGCCCTGCAAAATGATATTAATAATGCAGAGAGAGGCGTTATTGTTGTTGCTGCTGGACAGACGCTGTCAGGAACATAAAGCATCTTTTCTGCATCTTATAAAAAAAAAATGTTTTTTTCATTTTAGATGTTGTTTTCACAAAAAGAAATTCAGATTGGGTTTTTTTTTTTTGTTTTTTTAAGACAAGCCAGCCGTCTCCAAAGAACCAGTTCTTTACTGTCATGCGTGGAAGGCTGGCTTGCCCTGACGAGGGTGAAGATCTCACCCTTTGGATATTCAGCAGCCATGCAGAATGCACACGGAATAGCAAATATTCTCTGTGTGTGAGCTGAATGCAGCGATGTCAAATGTCATGGGCAGGGGCGGGGATGGAGAGAGCGGAGGAATACGAGATGATGGGGAGAAAAAAAAGAAAGAGAGGAAAAACTGCAGAGTTGAAAGAAAAAAAAGAACACTGCTGACGATAACAAGTCACCATGCAGGGTGATGAGGTGATCATAAAATGGCCGAATGCGATTCTTATCGTTTAATGTTGGAGGGCAGCAACATGTGAAGCGACTGAAAAGGTGAAGCTCATCAGAGCGAGCAGAGCGGAAACAGCAGAGGTGGAAGGATGATGGAGAGAAATGATAGAATAAGATAAGGTACGCTAGAGACCACATTTTTAAAAGCAGGGAGCTTTTAGATCGAAACCCACCTTAAACTGCGATGGCCAGACAATAGCACTGCATCAAGAATCCTCAGCATGGTGTAGAGCGGCTGCTGACACCAGGTTGAGGGAAGAATCTCTGATCCACCCTGCAAAAAAAAAAAAGAAAGTCATTAACCTCTAATTCTAGTTGAGGCTGGTGGAGGAGCTCTCAGTGTACAGGTTCTCATATTTAGGCCTTCATCAGACAGCTCTTCTCTCGTTGTGCATTTGATTATTAAGATTATCCACAATTCAGTGTTTTCTCCCCAAGCTAGTGCAGCGTTTTATTTACTATTATCTAAGAGAAAGGAATGCTGTGGTAGTGAACAGCTGATGTCCGAGTATCCGCAATGAGACCATAACTTCTCAATTATTTTACTTACAGAAAGTGAAAAATGCACAGCTGGTTAGTAGTTAGCTGTGGAAAAGCTGCTAGCAGGTTTTTGCAGACTACACGAAGGATTGATTTGTGATGTCATGTACTGATCCTTACTTTTATTTCCGACCACACTGAAAGCGCTGCTGTCTTGTCAGAAATGTTTGGGACATGTAGCTTGTGTGGATGCGGCCTGTGCAATACTTGATCAATAAAAAACCTTCGGTACAAACCCTCGCAAACACGGAAAGTATAACTCTGGCCGTAGTCTGTTGTGGGATTTGGAATTGTTTCAAATCAATTGGCAGAAGTCATTAAAGATGATTTTTGGAGTACAACAATTCATCAGGTGTTTAATTCCTTGTATTCTCCCAAAACTTCTGATTATTTTATCCATAAACATGGAACAAGCTGAGTATATGTTGTCATCCTGCTACTTTACATAAACCCAGGTGTCACTCGTCACATGTAGGCTGGTATTAGCCTGCCATTGGCTGCTAATTTGGGTCTTCTTTGTCCCCTTCACTATGGGAAACAATAACATCCTTTTGGCATCAACCTACCATACTGGACGTTTTAAGTTTTGCTGAAGGTTTTGATCATGCAGTTGTTGTGTTTTTTGATGGATTAGCCATTTTAGTGACAGTGCTCGTCCCCCTGCATGCAGATATGCCTCCACAACAATTCACCCGTCATTATTTTGAGAAGACACCAAAGCTGCATCCTTCACTTAAGACGACTGTGACTGATTTTAGGAACTACAAACAAGACAGAGCGTTTCTTTCCCTGTAGCAGAATAACAATGAATGCAGCCAGACCATCATGTTCTACAGAATGGGCAGGCAATGTGAAACTACATAAATCTGATAGACGTTTTAAATTACTTTAGAGCTTTTGGGTTCGCCTCTACTAACTTTTATTGAGCTGTAAAACAGTGAAGAGACGATTGAGAACACTTAACTCTCTCTCGGTCCTTCCGATGCCAGAACGTATAGCAGAGAATGCCGTTTTAAAAGATTACCAACAGTATTAGAAAAGCAAAGAGTGACGAAGAAAGAAGTTTGGAAAGAAAACAGAAAAAAAAATCCAAAACGCAGAAACAAAGTGCAAAAGTGTAAGAGCAGAAGTTTCAGTCAGTATAAAGACGGAGAACGAACTTGTCCCAGAAATCTGATTGCCCCCCCATCACTCAGACGCAAGAACCGACAGGCGAAGCGGCACGCTTGGCCGACTTGCAGAACACTTCCCCGCTGTCTTCTGGACGACCTTTCAGTCTGTAACCTTGGGCTGTGAGGCAGCGCCAGAGAAATCTAATGAAACTAGGGACAGAAAACAGAAACGCAACAAAATCTGCAAAGCCTGAGAACACGGGAGTTTCAGCGGTTAATATTTCCAGATGAGGGATGAAGTCTGACGATAAGGCCGCCCTCAGCCTTTTATCACATTCTGATAAAACGTCTATGGGGTGAGAACAGATTGTGTAAATGTAAAAAACTGCTGCTATTTTGGATTTAAAGAGTCTGCTTTGGAGAAATCGGAGTACACAGCTTTGCTCTGAATTATTAATTAAATTCTCCGAGCTGGAAAGCCGGCTTTTTTAGAGGTCCAAACTCAAGACTGGTGCAGATACACGTGTTCAATCAGACCTCTCCAGGTACTCTGTAATGAACCTGTGAAAGTTTCTCAAAAGTAAACTGTAAAGCTTTCTGAAAAAAAAAGGAACATTTTTGTGTATATGTGCCTCCCTGTTGCCACGTCTGTGTTTCGCTGTAGAACACGTCACTAATGTACCTAAATGTAATGAAACTGCCTTGCACATTGCCGTCGAGCCGCCGTGGAGTCCAGATCACTGCCGAGGCTTTTATTTCACATCACGAGCCTCCCACATTGCCAGCGCCACTGGAAGGCAGATATATTGCAATGTTGGTCTTTGCTTATTGAAGGGCAGGCTGTGCACTGATGCGCTGCCAGTGTTTATTTGAGAACAGAGATGATTTCCAAGTTTAAACAGGAACCAGGGTAATGTTAGCTCTTCCCATCTCCACAGAGCGAGATTAAAAGAGACAGAAGGACTCCCACAAATGAAGAAATGCAAAGCTTCTTCTGTCTCTCGGTGTGTGGGGGCAGGAGCCCGGTGGCAGTAATGCATTCTGACTCCTGCAACCCATCGACTGCCAAAACCACCTACTGTGTCACCTCAGGGGAAAAACAAGTGCACGGGCCAGTGGCAGCGGCGTTCGGTCACATGAGAGAAGCCAATAAGGAAAAGACAACAACAGCACAAGTTTAATGAGATTTGCTGTGAAAGCAGAGGGGGGAAACGAGCAGCGGCGTCAGGATGAATTAACATTTTTACACGATATACAAGTAGGCTAAACAAGTTCTGGTCATTGTGCTCAGCTGTGAGCTTAAGCAATAAAACTGTTGTTGTCGTTTCAAACAATGCCACGAGCTCAGAGTGAGTTTTTAAGACGTGCTGTCCGACCACGTCTGAATTCAAAGGTGCTTATAGTCCCTTTGAACAGCCACAGTGGAAGGCGTACAAGCTGTTCATCATGGAGGGGGACGACATGAAACTGCTCCAGAAAGCCTTTTCAGGTTAACATTGATAGGGTTGCATTGGGTTGTGAAACACTAATCGTTGTGTAACAGTCAAGTAAAGATTGATAGAAAGAGAAGTACAATGCCTGGCATGAAGTGGGTGTGAATGTGTGATCGTGGGCTTCTCAGGCCCGTTCACACCCAGCACTAACATGCGTCTTGGCTGGTCTGGTCCCAAGTAGACAGCTCTACGTTCAGGTGTGAATGCATCCAAGACGTACTGAGGATACATGGAGATCTGATCGGCCAGATCAGATTCTGAGGTGGTGTGGACCTCAACCAGCCACATGCCTTTAGCAGTGCAAATGCAAATGTGTACTGAGCCACATCGAAGGATAGACTGCACCGCTGATTTCCTCTGCTTATGCGTACTCACTTCACATCACAAGCTTATAGCCTATGCCTCACTGTCCTACTTTGGACTGTAATCCTTCCCAACTGTCGATTTTCTTTTCTCGACTGGTGCATCAGAAACTTTTCTTGTCTCCTTTCTTGGTTTTACCTCCACAGACTGCTTCTAGTTGCTGTAGCTCCTCCATCTCCACACATGCTCCCTTCTTCAGCTTTGCCAAACCAGTGATTACTGGTTTATGTAAAGCACATTGATCCTGTTGATGAGGAACGTCACCCCACACATTAGATTTAAAACTCGGTGACAGCAGGAAGGGAAAATGTTTCCGAAAGTCTTACTGGCTAGACATTGATAGTGTTGCATTAGGTTGTACTCATGAAACACAAATAGTCATCCATCCACTATCTATACACCGCTTAATCCTCATGAGGGTCGTGGGGGGCTGGAGTCAATCCCAGCTGACTCAGGGTGAAGGCAGAGGACACCCTGGACAGGTCACCAGTCTATCACAGGGCTACACTTAGAGACAGACAACCAAAAACACTCACATTCACACCTACGGACAATTTAGAATCACCAATTAACCTCAACATGTTTTTGGACTGTGGGAGAACCTGTGGGACTGTAGGAATCCGTGCTGCACGAGGAGAACCTAACTGGGACGTGAACCGGGGCTCTTCTAGCGGCGAGGTGACAGTGCTACCCGCCGAGCCACTTTGCAGCCCACAAATAGTCATGCAACAATCAAATAAGGAGGACTACAAAGGGAAGCACAATGTCTGCACTTCACTCACCTCCACACAACACAAAGTGAAGTGGGTGTGAATGTGGGATTGTGGGTTTCTCAGGCCTATTCACACCCAGCACTCGCATGCGTCTTAGCTGATCTGATCACAAGTGGACAGCTCTACGTTCAGGTGTGAATGCATCCAGGACGTATTGAGGACGCACTAAGATCTGATCGCTCAGATGACTTTCGGAGGTGGTCGGGGCTTCATCCGGCCCACCTTCTTGTAGCAGAGTGTATGTGGATGTGTCCTGACATCCCCTGCATTAGTGGAAGTAGGTACTCATCCGTGTGCATCGTAATAAACGTGCAGTGTGGAACTTTTGTCTCTCCCTTCTGGCAGTGAGAGTAATTACAAGAACTGCTGCTGTGAACCTTTGATGTGCCATCGATCTCTCTCTTTAGGCTGTAATCTTTCCTCTGAATGCAGAGTTTCTTTTTGTCTGGAGTATCAGATGCTTCCGAGGTTTTTCCACCACACAAGTACTTAGTGTAGCTCCAGCGTCTCCATCGCTGTGGTTGCGCCTCTCGTTAACTCTGGTGAACTGATCGTAGCAGCTGACATAAAACACATCGATACCGGTGTGCCAGTGACACCAGATAAAAACTCCAATAAACTACAAAACACAGGGAGACTCACCTGGTGCTGATAGGCTTAATCAGCGTTGTGTGAACCCATTTGGCTTCAATGCAACAAACATTTATCTGTAAAAGTTCTTCACGCCAGTCTTAAGTCATCACAACAACAAGCAAAATGGGGATTTCTTGTTTTCCTTGTTCTTGTTTTTTCTCTCTTAATTTCTGATAGACTAGGCACAGGATGGCATTGCTGCCTCCCATCGGTCTTTGTGCAAATTAGCAATAATTTCTGTTTGCACTTTGAGACTAATTCAGAAAATTGGTACCACATCAACCACGGAGACGAACAGTGAAGTTTGGCCTAAAGTAGGTTCCAGAGGAAAGTCTATGCACTCTGTCACTCAGATCAAAAGCATTTAGCATTTTTTAAAAACCAAGTGTAGTACCACAACAAGCTAAGCTAGCAGAAAAAGCATGTACTAAGGATTTCACTGTGAATCACACCAAACCACAGGGCTTACATTTGTATAATTTTATTTACTTCTGAAATCAGAACATTTGTGCATGATCGTTAGTAAAATGAATAAATTACTACATTCAGTTGTAGGGCTGACTTTATTCTGTCATGTATGCTGATGTGAATAGGCCTTCAGCTGTGCTCTATTAACCTTGGATGTGAGATAAATGTTACCATCACCGTGCTAACAAGCCAACATGCCAAACTACGACTATGGTGCTGCAGTTTAACATTTAATGTGGCATGCTAATGTGCAGCATGCAGGCCTTGTCATCCAACATGTTGTGTTGTAGCTCAGTGCACACACGAGGTTGACGGAAGCTCAGCCATGTCGGTGTTGATGGGTGGCATGTATTAGAACCTTCAAAGTAATTAGTCCGATCCATATCACACTCTACTAGTTGTTGTGACACTTGCTCTGAGCTGGAATGTTAGAATAACAAAGCGACAGCCAGCACAATACCTCGAGCTAAGAAGTTAGCACGACTAAATGTACACAGTTGTCTGGTGAAAGCAGTCCATCTCAGCGTCGTCTGTCTCGTCATATAATAACAGACTGAGTCCATAATGTAGCCATCAGAGCTCTGAGGGGGTCAGACCATCTGTTGCAGGAGTCCTTGTTCTTCTTGTGGCTAAATATAGTTCTTTATGTCTCTGGCTGGATGATTGGTGTTGTTGTCATATTGCTCAATGAATACGGGCCTCTCTGATGGTCTTGCATAATGAACAGGAAACAAAACATCTTCAGTAGCTATAAACTTGATCCACAGTGCTGAATGTATGAGTGCAATGACGAATCTTAAGAAGACTTTGACTTGAAACCACGCTAAAGCACATCTTAAAAATCACGTTCCTCTTTTTGTGTGTCCTTCAACAGGTCAGCATTTGCTTGGAATGCAACAGCAGCAAGCTTCGGGGTCTGAAGCGCAAGTGGATCCGCTGTTCAGCACAAGCCACGGTCCTCCACCTCAAGAAGTTCATCGCCAAAAAGCTTAACCTGACATCATTTAATGAGGTACAGACGATAACACGCTCCATCAGCCTGGAAAGCACCCCGATGAGAGCAGACCCCTGCTAGATCGGTCTCATTTTGCATGTAGTTCTAGTGTAGAACTGAAGCCGGAAAGGAACTAATTCAGGAGGAAATGTAGTTTTTTTTGCCTCCATTAAGGAGGAACTTTCACCCTTCATGCCAGTTCTGTCCATATTAATAACATTTATACTAGCATTTGACACCATTCAGACCATTTTATAGCTCAAAGTTGGTGTTCACATGTCACACTTATGTCAATCCTCTTCATACAAGGAAAAGAAAAACATTTTAATAAACAATCATATTTCAGTGGTTGAGAATCACCTCAGCTCAGCATTAATTTTTAAAAGATCCCGACGAGGTGGTGGGACAAGAAGTGACTCTGCACAAACAGTGCTTGTATGAATTCCAACAGGTTGTACTCCACGTTACATTTTGAACTAGTTTGTGATGAAAAGATGGAAATTATAGATTGTCGTCATTTGTCTTAATTCCCGTGCTTACAAAATGGATTTGTAGCAAATTGGAACAAATCTCTTAATTCTTGCAGTTTGTTTTAACTTGTTGCGGCACCAGCTGGGCGGCGTGAGTCCCGTGTATCAGAAAGTTTAGTTAATTGCAGGAAATTACATAAAGGTCAGTTTATTTATTCTATTTTTTTGCACTGACTCATGCGAGGCTTTTGTGTTTGTTATATTTAGCAGGAAACAAGCCCTTATGATATCTAATTTTCCTGTTTGTTGTCTTCGCCGCCCCGTTCCGAGCAGCAGAAGGGGGGAGTGGGCGATAATTTGACAGATGGATTTTTAGATTGCTGTGAATAATCCTCGCAGTCGCCTTCTTGTCGTCTATTTTTCTATTTTCTCTGTGTCTTTTTTTACTGGCTGTCACAGAGATGAGTGGGCAGGCTCCATCATATCGTCGGCCTCCATAGCACAACTTTGGCGAGGCGGACGCTCTCCCCGCCAGCCATTGTTGTCTTATCTATTGACTATCAAAAGATGCTGTTTGAAACGATTCTACTTTCAGCGTTGAGCCAAGCGAGGAGCTTTACAACACGTCGCTTTGTCAGAGAACAGTGTGCCACCTGTTACCGTCATGACGCCCGTGGAAATGTCTCTGCAGGAAGCGTCCACATTCTAAATATTAAGATAAGAAACAACCAAGTTGATGAACGTAAACAAGTTTGGGAGATGCACTTAAAATTATAGATAGCACTATTTAAAGTTCCAGAAGCTTTTATTTTGGAGGAGGGGTGTTCGACCTGTTTGGCCTGCGTATCTCCAGAATATCAGCCCTGTTCAAACCTTCACACAAATGCTTTTTCATTGTTTTTTAAAAATTGTTTATGACACTTAAGATGAAGTTTTCACAACCCGTAAGGCTTCTCAAATGTTGAGTTTGTGGAAAAATTCAAACTCACTTTAACTGGAGATGCATATTTTTCACTGGAGAGCTATGACATGTCAGAGACTGATATTTCTTTATTAGGCTGGTTTGTTTTACAGTTTGATGAGTTCTTCTTAGAAAACTGAGGGAAAAAAATCGACATAATTGGCGTAGCAGGAAGTTTTTTCTTCCAAATTCTTGTAAATCCTCTTCAGATTTCCATTGTGAGTTCTTTAAGAGGAGCAAACCGTCATACTCAGCATAAGAAATTGTTGAAAGTTGCTGAAAAATTAAGCACAATTAGACATTTTTAAATCGTGTGCTTTATGCAACCAACAGGCCAAAATGCAAAGATCTTCAGTTTACTGTCACAGATAACAAAGAAAAGCAACAATCACCAAATCTTTGCTTAAGGAATTTCTAATTGTTTGATTATGTAAGTAGCTTTTCTAGATTCAGTATCGACCTCCTTTAGTCAAAGTCAAGCTTTTTAAATGGTTAAAAATGAAATGCACAAGCAGTCAACGCATGGATTGAGACTTCTGAGGTTTGATTGTTACCAGACGTAAGGAACCAACCCTGACAACTTGCGGGTTGAGGATTTCTGCATCGTTATTCTTCAGAATCGGCTGAATATGGCTGAATTACTACAGTAGTACAATTTGCCACCGTGTGGAGCAACATTACAGTGTCGGAGCAGAGTTGGGGGTGAGCTGGTGTGCTTGAGCTGCCGCAAGTAGATAGATAGAGAGAGAGAGAGAGAGAGGGAAGGATAGATTTGCACGTTCTAGAGGAGGCAGCGGTGTAGAGTTACATCACTGATGACTTTAAGTTTGTCACAGCTTCTAATTCCATGTACAGTCGTCCTCAGATGTATTCCTACCCTCCCATTAAAGAAGAAAAAAAAAGAACAGCGTTAGTCACTGAAATAAGTTGAAAATGACAAAAGTAATAATAAATAAAAATTTAATGAAAATCATGACATTGAATTGTGGTTCAAAAGAAATATAAAAAAAAACAAATAAACAAACAAAAAAACAACAAACAAGCATGATGGGACCCATAAACTAATATTTTGTTGAACAACCCTTTGAGCCAATCACTGCCATCAGGTGTTTTCTGTAACTCTCAGTCAGACTTCTGCACCTGTTGACAGGTGTTTAGATTTTGGTCCACTGCTCATCAGCAAAGGGCTCTAATTTGTCCGGGAGAGTTTTTTTTTTTTTTAATTATTCTTTTCAGCCACAATTCAAAAGCAATGTCTTATTTCACTAAATTATAATTTAGCAAATTTTTATTTATTATTGCTTTTTTCAGTTTCTAGTTATTTAAGTGACTATTGTGAATTTTGCCTTTTCTTTAATGGAAGGGTGTTAATACATTAGAGGACGACTGTATGTGTGTGTGAATCAGAGTCTGTTGTAATATCTTTCAGACTGCTGTACTTGTGATGTGACAGATGGGTGTTTTTAGTGCTTAAATCAAAGACTGTAGAGGGACTTTAATGATGATGAACTTTTTTCTTAAACTTTCTTGTCTGTTCAAGGACATCTGAGAAGATAATACCTAAAAAAAAAAATCTGACACAAAATCCCTCTTAACATAAAACCTTCTCTTCAACTATTCCTCTGAATCATTTGTGGTCTCTTCACTGATCACAGTTTCCATCGCTGCTGATTGAAGCTCATCTCGTGCTTCCACCGGCAGCCAGCAGGTGGCGCTGTGGCAGTGTTCCTCTGCAGCCTCTCCCTCTCCCTCTCTCTTCTCTGTCTCCCACTATTGATTGGCAGATGCAGATGCGAGGCACTGCTCAGTAGGATATCACTGTTGACTTCAGAGGAGGGGAGGTAGATTTGGCGAGCCGGCCCCCGTGTTGCACTTCTGTATTCTGTGCAGAGGAGCCAGAGGCCACTCAGTGTCAAAACAAGCTTCCCCCGGCTTCCTCTCCAAGAAACAGTGGTGTTAGAACAGACAGTGGGGGGGGGGGGAAACCCGAGGACCAGAGTGTAGGTGGGGCAAGTCCGGCTTCCTCGCCACACTGCTCACATGCAGCCAGAAAAACCGGCAGCAGAGACCTCCAGCCTTCAGTCGTGATGTCAGCCTCTCTGGAGGGTTTCTGCATGTCTCACATTGTTGAGTTAATTTTTTTTCATCTGTTTCTTTCAACAGCTGGACATTTTATGCAACGAAGAAATCTTGGGGAAGGACCACACTTTGAAATTTGTTGTTGTGACAAGATGGAGATTTAAGGTAATGAGAGTTCAAACAAATGAACGGCAGTGTCGTGTTACCTGTGAAAACGTGAAGTTTGAGTCCTATGGCAGCACTTGGACCAAATGTGGTTTAATTATTCAACACCTACATGACAAACTAGGATGCTGCAATCAGTGTGGTGTAGATTTAACTGATTGAAAACATGTAAAATACTATCATCAAATTTAATTAAAAAAAAACAAACAAGCGAGTGGGCGCTCTGTAGGAGAACTTTACTTTCTATTAATATTTCAGCCTCCTGAGTTAAGCTGATGTAGTTGAAGTGCAGGACTAGTGGACATCCTCAGCAGCCTGATGGATTCTACATGTAGACATAAGTAACACAAAAGACGACTTTCTAGTTTGCAGGCGGACGTTGCATCCATGTAGCATGTTTTATTAGCAGCTAACAGGCTAATCAGTGCTGGGTTAGGTTTGTCATTTGATGTGAAAATGTGTGCATTGATGTTTAAATGCACGAAAAGATAAAAAAGCAGAAGCTAAAAGGCCCCATCGAGGAAGCCATCACCCTCATAGAAATAAAGACAGCAGGTGTTGTAGGACGAGGAGGGGTAAGGAAACCTATATAATACTGTTCAAATGTTTACAGTGGATAAACAGTGCTGTGCCACAGTCCCTTAGGCACGACGAGTAAAGTGAAAAATGCCATGAATAGTTCTGCTGGCTCTGACTGAAGGGACTGATCAAACACTTCCCTGATTCTGTTCAGTAACGGATAAATATCTAAGTGCCTAAACGTTTGCACAGTACAGTATACAGGAAAATAGATGGACAAACCATAAAAATAAATAAAAAAAGTCAGTTGTTGTTGTTGTTTTCAAATGCTATTTTTAGCATTTGACGATGAGGACAAATTGATAAATTGAACAAAATCCTCTCAGTTTTACTTGGCCGAGTCCAGACACTGACAAAGAAACATCAGCACTGCCTCAAGTGGACATGGATGTCTTTTATGATAGGAAACCAAAGAAAATCAGAAAATTGTACCAACCAATAGATTGGCTACAGGGGAAAGAAGATCTGTACAGTCGTTTTAGATCAAGTGAACTCTACCTGCTCGCCTTGTTAGCCTTAACTACGTCCAAATCATCATTAAGAGTAAGTATTAGTAGCGTATTAAATCATTTGAGATTTTATAGTGAAGTGATAACAAACTTTGTCACACTTTCTGAAAACAGAAAAATATCGACTGGTGATGTCAGCACAACAACTACTGAGACGACTTGTCTACAGTTTATAGATGAGCTGCCATGTTCATGTTTATGTCAAACATTCAGTCAATGTAAAATAAGTCGTACTTAACCGTCTCCATCAGGGTGGTCGAGTTCAAAGCTGTGACAACACGGTGGTGGTGGTTACAGGTAGTCTGTTACTCCTGCTGGTTACTCCTGGAAGGCTGTTGATGTAGAGCTTCTCTCTTTATGAGAGGAACACTGGTGATCGTCCAACTAATGAGAATCTGGTCAGATGAGAGCAATCAACCTGGAGACGACACCCCAGCCAGCAAATTAATACACCTAACTGACTGGCCTTGGCTGCAGGGCTCAGCCTCTACTGAAGGCAGTGAGCCATTTAGTCCGGCCTGCTTATGACAGACAAACTATTAAAGAGTTTTGCCCACATGTTTTAATCTGTCCCACTAGATCCTGTCGATAAACTACTTGTGACTGTTTTTTTTTTTAAGAGCTTTCAGAAAATCCATCTTGTGCTGAGGTTGTGTTTTTGTGTATCTTTCCAGAAATCGCCCCTCCTGCTCCATTACAGACCCAAGATGGATCTGCTGTAGCTACAACGGACACAACGGTTGTTTCCTTTTTCTTTTTTTTTGTTCTTCTGTCGTTGGCCCGGTGGCCGCGAACTGTGCCGAAACCTTTTTATTTATGCAAAGACGATCAACCAACACCAAGCAAACACCCGACGGTAAAAAGTCAACACAAGCCAGCAGCCAATCGGGATCTAAAGGGAGGGGGAGGGGGACGAATACGACAAAACCTGGCAGCCTCCAGCACAGATACGGCAACACTGGTGTGTTTTTAGGAACTAAAACAACCTTCTTTTTTTTTTTTTGTCCGCTACATCCTACATATGTGAACAAAAGAAAAAAGAAAAACAAAAAAAAACACAAAAAAAAAGAAAAAAAAAACAAATGGAGAGAAAGCATATATTTATACTTTTGTACAGAAGAGACACATGGAACCAAGACACTACTGGTGCTCTGTTTACACACAAACAAGATGTCGGGAATCACATGACCGTCTTTTTGAGCTTCACGCAGACTTCATCCTCCTGAGACAATGAACAACAGGAGAAGAAGAAGGTTTTTTTTGTTTTGTTTTGTTTTTATACGTTTCCTTTCACAGTACACTCGACACGTCTTTGGAGCACAGAAAGTATATGGAAAAGTTATATAACAGGCATCGATTTTAAGCTGTTTATCAAGCAAATTGTCTCTGAATCTTTTTTTTTTTTTTTTTTTTCATTTTGTTGGCTTTGTCTAATTTGCTATTATTGGGTTCTTGATGATTGTCAATTGTGAATAGGCAAAATTCTTTTGTGTAGTAATTTATGTTCTATATACCAATATTGTACATAAAATGTCATTACAGAGAGAGAGAGAGAGAGAGAGAGAGAAAGAGATTGAAGAGAGACTTTAGACTGTTAAAAAAGAGTGGATCCCAGAAGTGCTATCTATATGTCGAAGTGTCCGGAGGTGATAAATTAGGATTTTTAAAGACAGACTCACTATCAGTATCAAAATATATAAATGCATTTTTATGTTGTCTAAGAAAGACACAAAACAACTATATCAAATCCTCTTCCATTTATGTGTACGTGGGGTCTGAATATGTTACATTGCTCTGATAGAATTACAAAACTTTAGGGCAGATAAGGACAAAGCTTCAAAACTGTCCCCAACCTCATGCTCCTTATCTCACCTGCCTTCTATACACTTAGCGTTCCCGTTTCTTTCTTTTTCTTTTTTTGACAGCGTACTCAGATTTTACAGAAAACACTCATGTCCGTAAATGCCTGCAAGAAATAGAAATGCAAAGTTTGGGCATTTTTTAAAAATTGATTTTAGCCCCTCAGTTTTGACACCATGCAGTCCTTAATATCCGTCCCTGTTTCTTGCAGCCTTTCAGCAGCACCAGGCAGGCAACTGCTGTTACACCCACATGTTTACAGCTTTCGGTTTGAGCAGATGTTTCTTCGCACCCTCACACCACGCATTTCCTTTTGGCTACATTTGTTGACATTTTACTGCGAAACTACCAAAGCTGCAATAGTATTTTTTGTTTCTGTTTTTAAAATGTACAAGTACACACCAGTCTCGCTCGTCTTAACAGCCACGACGGCGGCCTTCACCCGACTGTCAGAATTCAATTGTGGCGTTTCACGTGGACATTTATCACTCAACAAGACAAAACATAGACCGCATGCTTCTCTCTTCAGAGCTGGACGTCCGCAGCATGAAACAGCACAGATGGGCCGGTTTGATAAACAGGAGTGCAGGTTACTGATGTCACATTGTTGTGTTTCTGGAGTAGATTTCAGTTACTTCTCACTGCCAGCTGGAGATGCAAATGTGCAAAAGTTGCACAGTGTTCAAGAGAGTTAATTTAAGAACATTTCTGAAAGTTAAGTAGATATTGTTTTTGTCACAAAATCAGTATAAAACTTGGATTATTATTTTTTAATTTTTTGCAGAATAGCCAGTGTTCAATACTGTTGACTTCACAAGACACAATTTTACGAGTCTTTTTGAAAAAATAACTTGCAAATTCAGGTTTCGCACAGGGACTGAGATTTTTTGAACATTTTGATAATGACATTCTGAATAAAATGACTACTGTTTGGTCATTTGGTGCTCATAAATGTATGTTTCTAACCTTGAGGAGGACTGTTCCTCGGGAACATGCTGTTCTTAACTGTGTGACGCAGCAAACCGATGTTCTGTCAAACTACAAAATGTCTTAACCCTAAAAATCCTGAACCGAACTGTCTTTAACATGACCACAACTGGATCCCTGAACGCCGTGTCAGACCTCAAGTAGTATTACCTCACTGACTTGTCTCATCGGTAATTAAATGACAATTTACCTTTTGCATTGTATCTGCCCACAACAAGCTTTTGTTTTTCTGTCTGTATGTTCACATGCAGGGTTCCTATGCATCCTCACATGTCAGAAGTCTGGAAAAAATCGAATTTCAAATTGGATTTCAAAGCAGTGTATAGGAACTCTGCCACATAAGGACCTATGACGTGTGTATTCAATGCATTATAGCCTACAGGTCTGTACAAAACCAGCTCAACCAAAACTCCTCCTGCATGTCTCAGTTCACTTCTTATGGTAAGCTTTGTTTCTGAAGACCCTTCATCCAGCTACCTTTGTAAGGCCTCATTGTTTTTGGTTTTTTGGTGCCATTTAGTTGCATTGAGTCCTGGAATCTAAACAAAAGGTTCAGTTTTGACCAACATCAGCTGCTCTGGTCCTGACATACCTGCTTGCAGGTGCACTTAAAAATCAGATTCTAAACGTAACTTCTCTTGATTCATGTTGCTGTAGACCCTCATCTGGCCTGTGGAGAACTGGACAATTGAGTTTTACCATTTTTAAAGATCTACTGGTAACATCTGCTCTTCAAAACCAAAAACAGTGAGCGTCTCCATCTTGTCAGCTCCTACAAGTGTATTGTGTTAGTAATCGGTGAAAGTCCCCTCAAACGTAATGTGACTGCTGTGTGCTACTATGTGTTTGTAAGACTTGGTATTTATGAGGCTAAAACACATGAATACATAGAAATGTGAGCAGTGTCAAAGATCCACGTCGCAGCGCTCTGGTTTGCAGTTTTCGGTCGTCCCACCCTGCAGTCAGTCACGTCACTTTGCAGTTCAGCTCTTTGTCACGTCAGTCTTCGATCTTGGCTTCGTCCGACCGAGTCCTCGCCATGTCTAAGTGTCGTCAACTCGTGGCTCTCCTGTCTGTTTATGATGATATCTCTTTACTGTACGTCAGCTTTTTCTTCAGGTGATTAAGCTGTAAAAAAAAAGAAAAACAAACACCCCCCCACACGGTGCTACTGGAACCACAGAGGAAAGGTTAACACATTTCTGTATGATGTGCAGCAACACTGCATGGCTGCTGTGTTCTGAGGAGACGGACTGACATGGTAACAAAGGCTGCAGGTTTATTGCCCCTTTTGTTCCACGTGGTTGTGTTCACTCACTCTGGACGTGACGTGTTCAGGTTTTTCTCCTCATTGGTCGTGGGGGAAAATAAGACGGATCACTGGCAAAATAATCTGATGATGCCAACTACAAAAATGACGAGGGTGCTAGACTTGAACAGAAAACGTTTGTGATTTGATGATAGAAACTTACCATCAGAATGACAGTAAACTGAACCAGCAGTTTTTATGTATCGTACGTTGGACACAAATCTGTTGAACACTTTGATTTTCAACATAAAGTGCTGCAGCGTGAACAAAACCTCTCACAAAGCTCCTTGTGTATTTGTCGAGCTCAGAGAACCAAGTGATCAGAGCGACGAGCCCGACGGGACGGGACGGGTCGTCGCCACAGCGACGGTCAGGCGTGGTCTCTGGCGCTGGTGCTTTCTATGGTGCTAACAACTCCACGTTTCAAACTTCTTCAAGAGAGATTCAGTCGGAGACAGGAAGGCGCTGTGCAGCAAAGTTCTCCTGCCTTTTGTTTTTCCTCCACACGTCTTCTGTCTGTACCTGTACGTGCTGGAGTCCTTGAGTGTCTGCTCGAGTCAGACCTGTCTCGCTGTGCAGATAAAGAAGGTGCTGGTTTTCATTGATTCGTTGGCTCTGCCCTCTTGCCTGGGCTTGCTCTGGAAAGCAAACAGATGGAATTTTAAATAAGTCATAGACTGTGACGGGGCTGATGCTGTGAAAAATACAAGTGGTGAGAAATTGGGTGTGCTAGCTGCAATGTCGTGCCTCAAAGAGAAACTCACACTTCTGGTTGGCTCCTCTGGTGAGATGTTTGCGCCTCTGAGTCAGATTGACACTTCAGTCCCTAACAGATAATTGGTTCCGCAAAGACAAGAACATCCATGGAATTTAAAATCACATGGAGCTGATTTTGTTTTAGCGTCCCATAAATTTGTGCAGAGCTTTTGGGAGCTTTGACCTCCTCACCGCCAGCGTGAGGGCGCCACATTGAGACGTCAGTGCCGCTACGCTTGACAGCTAAGAGGCTTAGTGGAGGCACCAGGTCTGCCTCGCTGCAGATAGGTGGAGGTCTCGGCTCCAAAGGGTCTCCGGCACGGAGCGAGGCCGCGATCTGTCAGAGCTTCATCTTCTCTGCTTTGACCTTGATCTCCTGTCAGCCTGTTTGTTATCTCCTGCGAGGATCCGAGTGAAGCTCTGGGGAGACGTGTGAAGTTTTGATTGGAGGTGGTTCTGCGGCTTCACGCCGGCTGTCGGCACGAGCGGGTCGGAGTTTACCCTCCCGCCATGATGTGAAGACGAGTAAACAATTTATTTGTGCCGCTTTGCACGATTTCTGAGCTCGGAAACGTCTCAGAAGCTTGCTCTCTGAAGGCAGCGCCATCCATTTCAACTTTTATTTCAAGCTTGTTGGCAGCAGAATCATTCCTGGCAACTTAAAATGGCTCTTGTGTGTTTCCTTCACTGTAATAAGCGTCCACTCTGGGAGTGTGCTCGCTTTCTTTGTTGCCCAGCTCACTTGTTCTCCCTCATTTCTGAGTTCTTCTGTAAAGCTTCGTAATCTCACAGGCAGGCTTTGTGTGCGACGGAGGGGGAGACCTCGAGGGTTACTGAAACGGCAGCGTGGTAGGAAAACACCCCCAAAAAACCCGATTGTTTGGCCGGCGCGGCTGCCAGCTCCAAAAGGCTCTGAAATGGGCTCTGGTGTGCTGAATGGTGTCGCCATGGGTGGTGCAGTTTGAAGAGCAAACGACTGGTTCGGTTATGGATTGTTTTCAAAGTCGCATTTGTTGCAAACGACACCTCTTGACATTTGTGTGCGAGCGCTAGATTGAACCTTCTGGTTTTCCATAATTCCCAAATAAAGCGGGAAAACTGGTCAACAGCTA